ATGTTACCCACTGATAAACTTTTAATTTGTTTCTGGGCCCATGTTGTGTATTTTTTACGTTTTTCCCATTTGTTGAGTTTTTAAAAATGTTGCATGAATAGAAAATGTTAAATTCTGGCTTTTGAGTGCTTAAAATGATTACAAACCAGTACTTTTTGAATACAAATTAAACCATAACTCTTTTAATTCTTAGAAACATTTGACTTTTATAAAAAATTATTTCGCGAACTAAGATTTGAAGATCCTGCGTTTTAACGCAGCAATGTTATACGGATTTAACTACGAGAATCTGAGTCTGTTACCAGCCCAGAGTAATTGAGAGGTTTCAATTTAAATCGATCCACTTTTATCTCATTTGTTTAAATACTTATACAAATTAAGTGGATGGAATATATTCTGTCCTGACAGAACGAGCGGAGAATCAATAATTAATCAAAACTAATATTTGAACAAATTTGCGATAATTACGGATTTTTATTACAGTTTAGAGCAGATATGTAGCTAAAAAATTAGTCGAAGTCGAATTTTGACACCTTGACAGTTTATGTTCATACTTCGAAAGAATTCGACTATTAGCACGTTCAGATTACTTAGAAGCGGCAGCGGTTAAAAGAAAATGAAATCTGATTAATTTTGTTTCGTCAACACAGAGGAGAGGACTGATTAATTAATTAACAACACTCTTGTCCAAAAATAACCTTAAATTGTTTGCAAGATTTTACAGCATTCGATTTTTGCATTCTCAAAGTTAAATTGTAAAATATTGGTTATATAATTTTGATTTTGTTCCAGAAAACTGGACGCCAAATATGAAAACTCAATATGGATTTATAAATTATCATTTTTTGGGGAAGCCATAGGTGAAGAAATTTTGATTAATGATTTATCATGTTTCCAATAACCTGAAAATATTTGCAAGATTTCAGGCGATTCAGTTTAGCAATTTCAAATTTAAATTTTTGTCCAAAAACCTGGATGTCTAAGGTAAAAATTCAATAACGATTCATAAACCACATTTAAATAACATTTATTAATATCAATTTTGAAGGTGACGTCATCCTATTATTGGTGGGGATGATTATCCAAATTTTGGTTATTGTTTTACCTTCTACACGATATTCCTAATACACATATAAAATTTAACAACAATCAGTCCAGTAGTTTCGTAGATTATCTGTCTAATAAAAATCTGAACAGATGATAGACAAATAGACGGACGGAAACGGCAGATCTATTTTTTCGTATTCTAGAGGTCATAAGCTTACGCTCAGGAAATAAAAATTGTTTAAAGTTATTTAGACAGAACTTCCCTCGTCTCTGAATTACAGTCGAACAAATACAGCTTTTTCGAAAAATATTGAAATTTAAATTTGCGAGTTTTTTAATGACAATTCTTATAACTTAGAAAAAAATTATGTGTGGACTGTTAAAATTCAGGTAAATAATGTAATTTGGTGTAAATAAACTCTCGCAGACCCTGCCCCGGGGAGGGTGCAGTCCACACAGGAACCGACAATATATATTTGAAGCAACCAACGGGAAAAATATATTATCAGTACATGCTTAATTTCGATTGTTTATGTCTATACATCGAACGAATCCGACCATTAAGCACGCACCAATTTGGTTGACCCGAATAAGCTGATGAAATTGAACAATTTTTTTTTCCTCAAAACAGAGGAGAAGACTAAAAATTCCTGATTTAAGAAATAAAATAAATTAACTCATTCATTCATTTTTTGAGCCATCTGTATAAGCAAATGTAAAGAGTATGAAGGCAATGATAAATCACAAGCAAAAACTCGTCATATTTTACACATTTTCGGTACAATTTATTCGGTAAAATTTTGAGATGACATCATCAATTTTTTGGCGGAATAAACAGATATATTTTGATTAACAATTTACCATACTTACAATAACTTCAAAACGTCTGCACGATTTCAAAGTATTCAGTTTTTCAAATCTTTATTTAATCAATAAAATAAATTGACTCAGTCATAACCCTGTATTAACAAATCTAAAAAATAATAGTGATAAATCACAAGTATAGACTCATCATATTTTACACATTTAAGGTAGGATTTATTCAGCAATATTTTGAGATGAGGTTATCAATTTTTTGGATGGGATAAGCAAATATATTTTGATTAAAAATTTATTATGCTTGTCATAACTTTAAAACATCTGCAAGATTTCAAAGCATTCGGTTTAGCACATGCAAAATTAAATTGCAAAATGTTGTATAATTTTGATTTTTTTCCAAAAATCTAGACGTTTCGGGTAAAACCTCAACGTGGATTATTTTATACAGTTTATAACTCATTTACTATGTATGCATAATTTTGCAGTGACGTCATCACATAATTGGGGGGATGATTGAATTTTGGTTAGTGATTTACCATCTACATGATATTTCTAATATATATAAATACAAAATTTGACAACAGTCGGCCCAGTAGTTTCGGAAATTATCTGTCTAATAAAAATCGGTACGGCAGACAGACGGACAAACGGATAAACAGACAGACAAACAGACGGAAACAAAAGACCTATTTCTTCGTACTCTAGAGGTAATAAAAGGTCGAGAAAACGTAGAAGTAGAAGAGAGTCGGCCGACGGACTCAATTACTATACTTCCTTCGCTTACGCTCGGGAAGAAACAATCAAAGTGGATTCATAAATCACAAGTGTAGGAGTATGCCATTTAACGTAACTCAAATAGAATTTACAAAAAAAAATCGAGAGGACGTCATTGAATTATTGGTGGTGATGAGACATACGACATACGGCAGACGACTAATGACAGACAAACAGACAGATTGACGGAAACGAGAGGCCTATTTGTTCATACTCAAAGCACATTTGCTAGATAGATTTTTAGGATGACGATTGAAAAACTAATAGACTTTACAAACAGAAACCCGCAACGGTCATTTTTGGTCACAATACCTTTTGGATCTTCAGTAACAAGAGGGCTAGAAAAAGTGAATAAAGGGCAAAGTATTAAGGTTGTTTATATATCCAGACAGATTCTTTAAAGTCTTCTCGGATATTTTGAGGATAAATTAGGGCCTAATGAGAAGCTTAACTTTTATTTTTAGAGATTGTTAGACTTATTGTTTTTGAAGTTAATTTGTTTTTTGTTTCACAGGTACTATTGAATCTAGCTGATGAACTAGAATAAAGACCAGCCACATAAATAAAATGAGAACACATAAAAGTAAATAACACAGTTATAAAGTGTGTATAGTTAATGGGAGTTGAAGAAAATAAAACAAACTATGATTAACACAACAATAAAAGAAACTAAATTTTCTATTAAGCGCCAAAGTGATAAAAATACTTTTACAACTAAAGCGAAAGAACAAATAAATAGCTATTTTATTAGAATAAACATGGGTGTCTGAAACGAAGAAATTAATTAAAATTAAAATTTTACCCTTTTCTGTATCGATAATTTCACATAAGTCTTAAACGAACACTACTACTGAAATTTTAGAACCATTTTTGTTTTGGAAGTAGGTAGTACATACATACTATTGAGAGAACTTTTCTATATTTATAAGATTAAGAAATAATATCAAACTGAAAAATGACTGCCGTCTAACGCTGTACAAGTTTTCTGCAGTTTAATCAAATCTCAACAAACTTCACGCACTTTGAATATCACAGGCATCAAGTGTCAGCCCAAGGCGCCTCAGACTGTGTCAGTCTGGTTATTGTTACTTGAATAGTTACTGGAGCTTGTTGTGTGTTTTCAAACTATGGAATGTGCAACACTATCACCAACACGGGAGAATTTAGAGCCCGCATGGAAGACAACATTGATAAGCTCGTAAATAATATACCTATTTAAAAGATGAACATATGTGAATATATGAGCTGCCTTAAACAATGTTTGTGTTTGTAATTTGGACGGAAATCAAGATGAATAGCGTCCGGCATGTTCTCGAGGAAAAAAAAGGATTTTCGGATTGGAGGTGTTGATTTATTGCGTTGTCGTGATGGCTGTTTTGATGGTCGTAGTTTTAACTTTCTTTGTTATGGCCGCAAATGTGTGCTTTTGTGGACATTATTATATGTCAACGTTGTTTACATCTGGGGTGGGATTTTGTTTCTTGATCGAAGTGATAAATTATCACTTGCGATAAATGTCATTGCGTAGCTTTTAAATGCAAAGTTTGCATTTATTCTTTGCATATAAGCTTATTAAATGCTCAAAAGTTTACAATTACCTTAGTTTTAAGAACTTATAACTCAGAATTACGATTTTGAACTTCTATTTTGACATAAATTTCGAGGTTATGTCTCCGAAATTTATCACTTCATTCAGAGCTATCGAGAAAATATCACTCCATGAAGACTTGATTTCGTGACAGAATCGAGAAATGTGACAGAAATGTCTCACCAACTCAGCCTCTCAACCAATCAGCAAACGAGATTTTATCGCTATCGAGTTTTTTTCGATCGAGGAACAAAATCGCACCCCTGTGCCGAAATTTTTCACTGCATGTATATAAATTTTGTCGACGAGTTTACATTGAATTAGTTATTAATGCGCATTATTTACAATTTAAAGCAAACTTTTGTTGATGAAATTTAATATTCTAATTAATGATTATATTCAATTTTATTAAATTACCCCATCGCGTTAATTTTCAAATTACGACCCGTATGCAACCAACTATACACAGTTATTCACCTTTTGCATTCACCGCATTTCGCCCGCAACCATTAAAGCGAATAGCAGATAACACCCGACCAGAGTGAACCGGAGTGTAAAAGCTTACTCACTAAAAAAGCTCCGGATGTGTAAAATCTGCACAGGAATTTTATTACGCGTCATTTAAAGGAAACACTTTGTAATACATGATTCCTAAATCTTAATCCTGTGATAATGACGATATCCTTTTACGGCTGACATAAATGGAACGACTTGTACGGAAATCCGACACAAGGACTTAAAATGTGACGATCTGTTAGGAGAATAAACTCACAGCCTGCTGTAGCTAACTTCCTCACGTTTGTTCTACTCATCTTGTTTGTCCTCAGCAAGTAATCACCTAAAAGTCCAGAGAGATAGGACCAGGTGGTTCGGAACACGTGACCCAGTCCTGAGAGCAGTCCTGTCTGAAAACGTATGGCATTTTAATTAAATATCCATAATTGCATACAAACGGAGAAAGCTCATTGGATATGTGCATATTTTTCTTAGAAAGAACTACTTAAAACTAAAAAAAAAAAAAAAAATTGCAGAGTGAACATACTTTATTTGTAGATGTAAGTCTGTCCTTTTTTTATTTTACATTTTAAGTTTAAACAAATATTCAATTGAAGTGAATAAACTTTTATCAGTTTTTATCAATCAAGACAATTGGATCTTATATTTGACAGATATCACTATAAACACAAAAATATCGGAAAAATAGTAAATATAAACATCAATTCTTTCAACGAAATTTTCTTTTACAAATGAATTGATATTCATTTGAGGTCACTGTCCTTCCAGCAAGTGTAATTAGTGTAAGATCAGTTAATTAGGTAGTGATTTTCTAATCTACAATGTTGTGAAACTTTGACGAGTTCATTAATACGTGTAGCAGTAAATCCACTTATTCTTTCGTTATTTTAATCAACGATATATCTCGAAGTTGTGGATGTTTTTATTTAAGTTATTATATTTTAAATAGCATATTTCATAATTTCTCACTCGAACTAAAAATATATAGTTCAATTATGCATTGAAACTAATCTTAAACGTTTATACATTTTAAGAGAAAGGATCTTGAAAATTGTCAATCATAATAGCATCGTGGATTCGAAAACGGAACGACTTCAAATTTTTTTTAAAGATTTGATAACTTCTTACAGCTTAAAATTTGAATATTTATTTTCGAAGTTGACGCTTTAAGGTGAAGTGTTTCCGAGACCACCATATTTTGATTTTGACCGCATTTAATTTGTGGGGTTTACTTTCGGTTTGTGAATTCATTTTGACTTAACCATTAACTTAACATATTACCATAATTTAACATCATCTAAATTATTTTTTGTTTAAATTTCTTGATAGAATGTGACGTAATTAAATTATTTCCTCTTTTCCTGGTCATTTTCGTATTCATCCAGGTATCAATATGAAATTTTAATTTTATTTGAAATAACAGCAAAAGATTTTTAAAGTTAGTTAAAGCTGACGGTTTTTCTCTTATGTTATCTGCCCAACAGATGTTAAATTGTGAACTTCATGGGGAGATTCGTGCCTAGTTTGGTAATAGTTGGCTGTTTTGCTTGTTTTGCTAAAGGCAGGGTATAGCGTATAATATGCAACAGGTTTTTTGGGCATAGATGTACTGTGCGACAAACTAAAACGAGGACTTTAAATTCAGCTTTCGTTACAACGTCCTATCTAGCACGTAATAACTTGACTATTAACATCCAGTTGCTTTGATTAAAATTTCGCTTTTCGTTTTGTTTTGTATCGATTTGTAACATTATTTGATTTGATTTTGGAAAGCTGGAGAGGGTTTTTCAGCTGAGAAATAAGTTCCTTGTAGCGTAATTTATTTCAACGATTTTTTTCCTCCATACATTTTGATTTAAGGTCATTTTTCCAACCTTGGGTTTCACCACTTTCCATTTGAAAACATTTCACGAAAAAAAAAAACAATTTTGCCGATCACAGTTTTTGAATTTACCATTTTTCGATATTTTAAAATTTTGTGTTCATGTCTCATTTTGGCGGGATGTTTAGGTTAGCACAATGTTTTTGTATAAGGTGAGCATTATATGGTTTAGGGAAAGTATGACAGTGGCCTTAGAAAATTATTCACAGGTTCTCATTAATGTCACAAGTGTGAAACATAGAAAGCTAAATTAAAAAAAATAATAAGTAGGAAATTAAAAACATTAAAAACTTTGAAAACTCTTTTACTGCTCTTGAAATCAACGGTCACGTTTAATATAAATGATTTTTGCTACATTGTCGTTAATAAATAATGAAACATATGTTTAGAAATTTTGATAATATTAATTACCCTTGATTATTATCAATGCACTGGAAAAAAAATTGCAACGGAATTCGTTCAAAATGTGAACGTATACAAAACTTACTTGACATACACCTTGTAAAACTTTTATGACTTAAGCGGGTTAAGTCAAACCACCCATAAGTTATGTTCTTATGTCGAGTGGAAATGGAAGCAAGTAATACAATGTAAGATGTGAAAAAAGTAAAAAAAAAGCGCTAATCGTAACTTTTTTTGTTATACTGTTTGCTATAAAATTTACTGCTTATTTCATGTACCACGAGTGGGATTTTGTTTCTACCGATACGATACCAAGTTATAATGAAGCGATAAATGACAAGGATGAAAATACATTTCAGATGCGAAAGAAAAAGGCGACCGCATTTTATCGGTACCGATATTTTATCGTTATAGAAACAAAATTCCACCTCTGACCTGACTTGACCTAACGTGACCTAAAATGTCCTGGCTTCTCTATTGTGTCAAATAAACAAATTTTAAAAATTTCTGTGAATATATAAAAACCACAAAAAATATTCAACAAACAAATTTTTATATCGAGCTATTTTGACGAAACTGTAAAAACTGCTATATTTCAATTAACATTTTTGGAAAAATGGTAGGAATTTCCGAAGAAATGAAGCTGAAAATGGTTGATTTCTGGATATCGAAATAGGAAAATGTCTTCAACTAATTTTCGGATGTAGTTGAAAAATGTGGAAAGTGCCAAAATCAGTTTTATCTTATCAAATACTAAGCCCGCCCACCCACCCTCTATTTTCTTAAAGGGTATGTCATTTGCCAAAATCAGTCTTATCTTGGCAAATACTAGACCCCGGCTCCTTTCCAATCCTAATGACTAATTTTATTTCCGTTCACTATAAGATCATTCATTTCATTCAGATCGAATAAACTCAATCCCTGAAAAAAAGATAGGGTGGGTGGGCGGGGCTAATTATGTTCTTCTGTCGAGTGGAAGTAGAAACTAATAATAGAATGTAAAATGTGAAAAAAATAAAAAAGAGCCCTGATCGTAACTTTTTTTTTATACTATTTGTTATAAAATTTAGTTCTTATTTTATGTACCTGACCTATTGGTTTTAACAAGACCGTGCTCCATTCCATTTTGGACGACAAGTGCGACAGTACTCAGAAGACAGTATTTAGATTCGCTATTCGTAACTTTTTTTGTTATACTATTATTATTTGTAAGCTTTATGGACCCGAACTGCAAGGATTATTATTGTCCATTGTTGCCATAATGGAGCTGTAAAGTTTTACTAGGTATATGTGAACTGAGTTAAGTTATACAATAGCCAGTTTGACTTATTATAAGAGTGCTTTGGCTTAAGCCGCTTAAGTCATAAAAGTTTTACAAGATGTATGTCAAGTGAGTTTTTTATAGATATCAGTTGAAGTGGAAAACGGGGTGTCAAAATCCATCATTGTGGTGACTTTTGCCGAAATTTTTTCTACCAGCCATAAGAGCGGACTCAAAACAAATTTGTCTGATGTAAATTTGCCTGAGAAAATTGAATTCTTTTTCTCCAAGAACGGAAGTTATGGTTATTAATATTCGAATAAAAATGATATTTTCTAAGCGTAAGCTAAGGAAGTATAGTAATGGATTCCCTCGGGCGACTTGCCACTTTCAGGTTTTCTGGACGTTTGACGGCATCTAGAATATGAAAAAAGTGGTCTCCCGTTTCCATCTGTCTGCATGTCGGTCTATCTGTCGTCTGTGTCGATTTTCAGGACAGATAATCTCCGAAACTACTAAACGCATTGCATGCATATGATAAAATTCATCCACACCAATAATTTGATGACGTCATCTCAAAGGAGTTTATTTTAAAATGTTTTAAATTATATATCACAATTTAATCCTATACTTGTGAGTCCGCTTTGAGTTTTTCCGAACGGCCAAATTTTTGCAAAAAAATTAACACAGTATAATAACTTTTTTCCACTAATTCAGCATATAACTGTCCAATGTTTATAAACTTGTGACTTAAGTGTTGACATCTATGTTGATGAAGTTATCATAAATGTTTTACTGTTCAAATTAAGAACGAGCCACCCCAGAATATTTTGTTTGGTTATAGCCTAATCAATAATTTAGTCCTCTGTTTTGAGGAGACAAACAATTCATTCAAATAAAAAAAGAATCTACGTGACATTCTCTCGATGTGTGAACAAACGCTCGATGTTAAACACGTTATTATTGCTATTTACGTTGTCCGTACGTACGGTTTCCCCTTGGAATTTGCGCTCCCATGGTGCAGGGGCTGCGGGGGGTGTTATTTATGCCTCTGCTTTTCATTTCATAGAAGTTATCAAAAACAAAAATTGCAAAATCAAATTTTATATATTTTCAAAGAAGCGGGATTTGTTGGATTTGTACTTTAGGCGTGAGGAACATTCTGTCTAAATAAATTCGACCAATTTGTTTTATTTGCTGGAGGAATATATAATGGAAAATATGATTTCATGGTTAAACATGCAAAAAATAAATACCATTTATCTTTAAAAATTGGTCTAAAATTATTTAGATAGAACTCCCCTCGCGCCTTAAGGCTACGTTTTCTGCATGGAATTTTCGGTACATTTTTAGACTGAAATATCTCCATTATTAACAGACTAATTATAGATTGTGAAATTTTAAATATAAGCTGTCCATAACTTTCTCTATATAACGCAAGGGCAGTTCTGTTAAAAACAGTTTGTGATAATTTTTTTTTTTAATTGTACTGAAATTTTTGCATAACGTATTTTTAAAAATCGATACCTCAATTATTTAAGGAAATTTCGAAACACGGTTTTCAACAGTGTTTTCAGCTTGTATAAGATATATCGTAGAATTTTTTTGTTAGAAACGACACACAGTAAAAAAAGTTCGTGCTGTAGAAGCTGCTAAATGTTGATTTTTACTAGATCTCAATTCTAACAAATAAACTCGAAAATATTCTGCCACCATTTCTAAAGTTTTGTAAGCTGAAAACAGTGGTGATAACCACGTTCCAAAATTTCCACAAATAATTGAAATATTAATTTTTAAAATATGTGACGCAAAAATTTCAACAAAATTTAAGAAACATATGATAATAAACTGTTAAAAAAAATATAGTGAAGGTAGTGGACAAGTTACAAGTGTATTAATGAATTTTTTTGAAAAAACTGCCAAATTTGATTTTGCAAAATTTTATTTATTTTAATAACCACTGTAACCAAAAAAATAGAGATAATGAAAAAAAAAAAACATTTTCCAAGGATGACATTAGAATCCACGAGGTATTTAATAAATATTGCTCCCAAAAATTTTTTTTTAATTAATTGTGATCAAAATCAAGGCGACTTCGTAGAGTACAGGAGCATATATTTTATAAAGTTTAGATAACGTATGTTAATGCAAAATGCAAAATGATGACGGGACCCAATTACAAAAAAAAAAGAATACAATTTCTTATATCCACCAAATTTAAAAAATAAAATTGCATAGGTATGATTTAAGTAATTGGTTGCTCAAATTGTACTTGTCTTTATTGAGTTAACATTTCAAGAAAAAATGGTTACATATGGAAATAACAAATACGTAGTTTCCAATTAGAGCGTCAGTCTATCGTAGGGACTCTTCATTTTTTGCCTAATCTCCGACAAAATTTTCAGACATAATGACAAATCAAAAGTGATTCATTTTGTAGACCTTGTGCATACAGTTTGCAAGACACTTAAATTATTAGATTGTGAACTACTTTATTATTATTGTTATTATTGACGGCAATTAAGATTAAATCCGGCGAATGGCTAAATATTTCTCGATTTTTCATGACCCCCATAGTATAAAAAAAATCTCGCGTTTCCGTGTATCTGACTACTGACCTAATGGTTGTCAACGTCACATCGAAATTTTGCGTGGTAAATGCTTCCAATTTTATAATATAATGTACTCCTGTACTTACTGTTGATGAATTCGCCTTGATTTTTATCACAATTATTTACCAACATGTCGATGCAATATTTTATATTTAGACCAATTTTTTGAATATATATTAGTGTCAAAAATCAAACAAATTTGTTACGCCAGTCAATACGTAAATAAAGGACACAGAAAGATCGCAAAATTCAAAATTCTCTGTAAACATTTAATCGTTCTTTAATAATTAAAATGGAAGTTAGAAAGCACACACGTGCAAGTTCTAGGTTGAATGAACGTTCGTTTTGTTTGTAGGTACAGAACTGTTGTCACTGTGAATAAATAATGGCTGAAGTACGCACAGATTTAAAAGCAGATGATTTATTAATAAAAGGTGAGAGATAAATAACTAACGTTTCTGTTTCACTGTAGTAGACAGGTTTTGCACAAATAGTGAATCTGGGAAGAACTGACTAAATTTTGTAAAAGTTACGAAATTTTGTGTGGTGATGTGTAAACAAAATGTTGAGGTCGGTGACTTAAGTAATTTTAATAAATATCTGTAGTATTTTTTTCAAGTTTTCTATAACCCTAATTTCGTGATACATATCTCGTATCATCATTTTTTTCCACACTTCTCTACTTTTCTTATTCCGTAGATAACGTTTCGTTGACACAAAAGCTTTCTGACAAATTCTGATAACATTACGTAACTTAACACTCAGCCACTACATTTAAAATAAACATGGACTTTTAGTTATTTAATAAGCAATTTGTACCCTAAATATTTGGTTGAAGTAAACGAGTGTATCAACTGAATATTTTTAACCGCAACGTCCAGACCCAAATTATTTATTTGGTTAGTTTATTAATATTATCCTCTGGTATCGACGATATGAGACTCTTTTTTTAAACGAAATCTTGAGGTCTTACGCTCGCGAATTAATAATACATAAAAATTCTGTTGCTTCCACCGAGAAAAATATATATGTTTTTTTATAGATTTTTTACTTGGATTACTGTGTCTCTGAACTACGTCTGAATAAATATTGTTTTCTCATTGGTATTCCACTGCATTAATATTTTTTTCCAGCCTTAAGAACTGTCTACACTTTTGTCTTTATTCGTCGGCGTAAATACGGCTCATTCATTTTTATGTGTGAATTTTCTTTCGCCGACAAAATGTTAATTTTATAGTTCGTGCAGCAAGTGGAAAGGCGAGCTCTAATCCACGTTTAAAATAATTATCAAAGAGAAAAGTAAATTAGAGACAACTGTACAGCAAATTAAAACATGTTTTTCGGTAATCTCGTGCTTGTGCATAGCTCTGAATTATTTAAATTAATGAAAACTATTTCGTGTGGAACTGTCAGACTAATTAACTTTATATACCTACGGGGCGATTCATCACTGCACCGTAATTCTTCCTCACCCTTTGTTAATGAGCAGTTCACTGATCTTCCCTAAACTAACGACAAGCGCATCAGAATGCCTCTAATGTTGAAAAATTAATTAAACACTAATCCTGCTAATTATATTTTCAATGTATCTATCTTGATTAAAATTACATCGATCGAAAAAACCTTGAACTGCAAAATAATGAACCATTTTATTGGCAAGAAGCATGCACAATTACCGCCATTACAAGTCACACAAGGAAATCGATAAAACAATTTCAATTAAATTTTAAACACGAAACCACCCCGCATTATCAAATCGGGAAACGACGCTCGAACTTACCGCCTGTATATTCCAGCCATGAATAAACTTAAAATACGTTGGCGCGTGAGTCATGAGGGTGAAAAAACCCCAAATTCCGCCCCATTGTGCTAATATGTTCATCCAGACGGGCACGGAAAAAATGATACTTTTCCAGGGAACGGGAGCCTGACAACAATTTTTTTATTCAGGTGGCTCTCACTTAGGAATAATATTGTTTTACTTTTTGTTTCGTGTAACTCTGGCCGAGGCTTTCCAGGATGTATTCTTTCTCTTCGGGCGAAATTCTGGGATGTTTGGCTGGACTGTCGTATACTAGAAACCACCATGCTGCAAACCACACGGTTCCTACTACTCCAGAGGTGTAAAACACCCATTCCCAGCCCCACTTGTGGATGATGAAACCACATACGGGATAGGTTAGAGCTGCTCCGATGGAACTGCCTAATTAGATAATTAAATAGTTATTCGGGTATGTATTTAGAGGGAGAGAAGAAATATTCAAGTTTAATCCGGAAGTTTTGTACTACAACGAATTTAAGGTTTGTGATATACCCAATTTTTCCACACGACTGTTACTTTAGACAAAACATAAAAATTAATATAGTAAATATTAATTGCTGCTAACCGATTTCGTATCAAAAGTCGACAGTTTTACCATGGTTTTATAGTATATTTGAAATATTTCACATTTTAATACGTTTTACAGCACACACCTCCTTGGGGAAATCACTGCAACAGTTACGTAAGCCAGACAAATTAAACTGTGTTTATTCTTATAAGAGTTATAAGGTTTCCAGTTAAAAAATGCGAATGACGTCATAAGTTCTACAACGCTAAGCAAATTTAATAGTAAAATTATACACTTTTTCACTGTTTTACTTGAAATATTCAACATATATATTTTTATTTTTACTTCCAACGGACGGATAATTTTCTAGTTTCTCGGTGTTTCATGACACATACGAGTAAAGTATGAAAAGATAAATTTCCCGTTTCTGTCTATCTGACGTCTCTTGGTGATTTTATTAAGCAATCCCCAAAACTGCTGGATTGATTATTTGATGTAGTTGTAGTTTATGAATCCGCTTTCATTTTTTACCTTCGAATCCAGGTCTATGGAAAAATATCAAAACTTTAAATTTTATAATTTAACGTGGGAAATGACGCTAACACGGTTCCAGAAGCTCTAAAAAATTGTCCACTTAAATAGCTTTATCATTATGACGGTCTCTCTTGAGAAATACCAACGGGGTTAAGGCCAGTCGCTACGTTTTCTAAGTAGAATTTTCGGTCTATTTTCAGAATGTAATATTTCCGTTATTAAGAAACCTATGGTTTTGAAATTTTAAATATATGTTGTCCATAAGTTTATTTATATAACGCAAGGGCAATTTTGTTAAAAACAGTTTGTGATCATATTTTTCTTTTAATTTTAGCGAAATTTTTGCATAATCTATTTTTAAAAATCGATATCTCAATTACATGTAAAAGGAAATCTCAGAACACGGCTTTCAACAATGTTTTCAGTTTACAAAACTCCAGAAATTATACCAGACATATCGACGATTTTTCTGTTAGAAACGGTACAGAGTAAAAAAAGCTTCCTCCCAAAAAATAAAGTCAAAAATAGACCTAGTACGATTTCTAAAGTTTTGCAAGCTGAAAACAGTGGTGACAACCCCGTTCCAAAATTTCCATAAATAACCGAAATATTGGCTTTTTAAACTATGTAATGCAAAAATTTCAACAAAATTTAAAAAATATATGATACTAAATTGTTAAAAAAAAAACTGCCCTCGCAGGTATGTAGTGAAAGTTGTGGACAAGTTACATTTAAAATTTCGTAACCATAGGTGTGTTAATGATGGAAAAGTTTTGCGAATTATGTAATATGCGCGTAAACATTTAAAGTGTATAAGTATCAAACCGAAGATGAAATATTTGTCAGGTTTTTGGAAACTGACCAAAATTTGTTTGATTATTATCCCTACCAACAATTTGATGACCTAATCTCAAAATTTTATACAATATAATTTTTATGATTGTGGTTTATGAATCCCCCTTGATATCTTGTTCTGAACAGCCAGATTTTTGGAAAAAAATTTATAATATAATTTTATAACTGAATACCGAATGTGCAAAACCGACTGTTGTGAAACGTTCTCTTAAATTTTGTATTTTTAGAATTGCTTATACAGGGTGACTCAACAAATTTATGAATGAACCGATTTATTTTAGTGTTTAAATTAAAAAGTGCTAACGTCATTTTCCATAAATTATGGGTTATGAGAATACAGTATTGCACTATAATTATGCATATATAGGTTGTTCGGAATGTGGAGGACGCCACAAAGAGTAAACTATTGAGGGATCTCGTTATGTACAAGAAAAACATTGAAAAAAAATCTTTTAAGTAAGGTTCAACAAAAAAAAATGCTTCAATTATCACAACGAATAATGAAGCTTTTAGTTCATATTTTTGTTCCCCATGGTAGACAAAGTTATGAATGTCTTATTTAAAAAAAAAACTGGTTTACCTGACCCTAAGTACAATCAAACAAATGCAGTTTCTTAGTAAATAATGAAATTTGATTTCGAAATTATATTTTTTCTATTATGACCCGTAAAAGTTAAAATAAAAACATGCATGTATTGTTAAAATGTAGATAAAGAATGCGTTCTTTTAAGTAACTTTTTCATTATAAAATATTGTGAACAAGGACAAGAAAACTGATCACAAAAGGTGACAACAAGACGACAAAAATAGAGAACTAGAAAAAAGTGATAAAAAAATCTCAGCATGCAACAAAAAAAAAATTGGTCTAAAGAGTTTAGACAGTACTTCCCTCGCTGTCGGAAACTTGACGACTGCATGCCTATTGTGTTTTTTTCTCATTACATTTTTGTAGTGGGAATTTAAAAAAAAATTGCGATGACGTCATCAACATTTTTGCAAGGACACGTATATTAGTTGGGATAGATGTAGTGTAATACTAAGAATAAAATTATTATATTCTCAAATTTTCGGGAAAATGAATTGGGTCGTTTTGAATATTGATTTGTAATAATCAATAAAATAACGAAACAATTTACTCACGTATACGTATCAGAGGCAACTGAAAATCGTGTATGTATAAACATTCTTAATTTAAGATGACAGGCGTAACAGCATACGTGAGAGTCAAACAGAGAAACTGTAAACAAAACGACCATCGGTTTTATTGCTTCGACTTCCGCTTATTATATAAAACATTGGGTCTTATTTTAATTCTTGACGGTGAAATTCACAATTGGTTGATTATAAACATGTCTATTTCACATTCGCGGAACCAAGTGAACGCATAAAACAAATGCAGGTCTGTAATGTTAAAGTCGATGTAAATAAGCGTGCTACCCTTATGTTTCAACCGAGTTTTTCCTTTAACAAATTTTGTGTCTACCAAATTGGGTTGGTTGGGGTGTAATACTAATAATAAGTGTTGCCTTTAATTTAATCAATAAAATAAATTGACTTCATTAATTTTTTTGAACCACCTCTTAAGAAAATCTAAAAAATATGAATGGAATGATAAATCCCAAGTCCAAACTCATCATATTTTTTGCATTTTAGATAGGATTTATTCAGCAAAATTTAAGGGTGACGTCATCAATTTTTTAGGAGGGATGAACAAATACATTTTGAACAAAAGTTTACCATGCTTATAATAACTTTAAAATATTCCCAAGATTTCAAAGCATTCGGTTTTCTAATTCCTGATTAAATCGATAAAATAAATTCACGCCTTCATTAATTTTTTTGAGTCACCCTGCATATGCAAATCCAAAAATATGAATGGAATGATAAATCACAAGTACAGACTCATCATATTTTGTACATTTTAGATACGATTTATTCGGCAAACTTTTGAGCTGACGTCATCAGTTTTTTGTAGAAGATAACCAAATATATTTTGACTAAAAATTTATTATGCTCTTTATAACCTTAAAACATCTGCAAGATTTCAAACCATTCGGTTTTGTAGTTCCTGATTAAATCAATAAAATAAATTTACGCATTCATTAATTTTTTTGAGTCACCCTATATATGCAAATCGAAAAAATTTGAATGGAATGATAAATCACAAGAAGAGACTCACCATATTTTGTACATTTTAGATAGGATTTTTTCAGCAAAATTTTGTGGTGACATCATAAATTTTTTAGGGGGGACGACCAAATACGTTTTGATCAAAAATTTACCATGCTTATTATAATTTTAAAATATCTTCAAGATTTCGAAGCATTCGGTTTTGTAGTTCCTGAGTAAATCAGTAAAATAAATTTACGCTTTCATTTATTTTCTTGAATCACCCTGTATATGCAAATCCAAAAAATATGAATGGAGTGCTAGATCACAAGTACAGACTGATCATATTTTGTACATTTTAGATATGATTTATTCGGCAAATTTTCGAGCTGACGTCATCAAGTTTTTGGAGGGGATAAGCAAATATATTTTGACTAAACATTTATTATGCTCTTTATAACCTTAAAATATCTGCAAGATGTCAGAGCATTCCGTTTTGTAGTTCCTGATTAAATCAATAAAATAATTTACGCATTCATTAATTTTTTTGAGTCACTCTGTATATGCAAATCCAAAAAATATGAATGGAGTGATAGATCACAAGTACAGACTCATCATATTTTGTACATTTTAGATATGATTTATTCCACAAACTTTTGAGCTGACGTCATCAAGTTTTTGGAGGGGATAAGCAAATATTTTTTGACTAAAGATTTATGATGCTCTTTATAGCCTTAAAACATCTGCAACATTTCAAAGCATTCTGGTTAGCAGATTAAAAATTAAATTTCAAAATGTTGTTTTATAATTTTGATTTTTTTTCCAAAAATCTGGACGTTTCGGGTGAAAAATCGATTCAGAGTTGTAAACTACATGTGTAGGACTATGTTATTTTATACAATTGAAAACCCATTTACTATGTACAATTTTGAAGTGACGTCATCGCATTAGTGGTGGGGATGATTAGACAAATTTTGGTTAGCGTTTTACCATCTACACGATATTCTTAATATAAGTCCAAAATTTCACAACAATCGATCGAGTACTTTCGGAGATTATCTGTCTAATAAAAATCCGAGACAACAGACGGACAGACGGACAGACGGACGGACAGACGGACGGACAGACGGACAGACAGACGGAAATGGGAGACCTATTTCTTCGTCTTCTAGGGGTCATGAAAGATCGAGAAAACGTAAAAGTAGAGAGTCGGCCGACGGACTCGATTACAATACTTCCTTTGCTTACGCTCGGGAAGTAAAAAGACAATGAAAAGAGGATAAAAGTCCATAAAGAATGGAAAAGACACTACAAAAAGTGACTAAAAAAGAAGGCCAAAAAAACGCGACAAGGAAGTCTTTTTTTGACTCCCTTGACACAAAAATGTGAACAAAAAAAAAACGTTACAAAAAAAGCGCTAAAACCTTGTAATCTTTTTTGTCGCAGAGGACAAGAGAATCAAATGAAAAAGAGCAAAAAAATGGAACAAAAATAGTTCACAAAAAACGAAACCGAAAAAAGGGGCCATTAAAAATTACAAAAAAAAATTGGTCTAAAGTTGTTTCGACAGAACTTCCCTCGCTCCTAAAGTACAGTGAAACATATCCAGAATTCTCCAGTGTTTATTTATCTTACATCGAAAGAATGTCACGTAGAAATTAGTTTGATTTGAATTAAACTACAGTCAAACAAAATGATCTGAATATTCTTATTTTATTATTATTATAAAGACGACTCGTTCTTGATTCGACCAATAAGAAATTGCTAATGAAGTCATCAACATGGATAATACTAGTCACAGTACAAAAGAAAACTAGTCGCAGTGTATTACCAATGCAAGAAAAAAGTAAACGGCCAAAGTCCTGGATCGAACCACTACTGCAATGTCGCACGGATTCGCTAACCGTCACCGAGTTCTCGACTTGCCACTACGCCACGGGGATTCCTGTCCGGTGTTGGTAATATACACGTATTGATTTATTTTTGCGAAAATTTGAACGTTTAGCAAAAAAACTGGAAGCGGATCCATACACTACAAGTGTAGGAGTATATTTTCATATAACTTTAAAATTATTTTAAAATACAATTCAATGAAATGACGTCATCAAATTGATGGTGGGGATGATTATCCAAATTTTAGGTAGTATTTAACCATCTACATGATATTTCTAATATACATACAAAATTCGACAACAATCGGTCGAGCAGTTTCGGAGATTACTTGTCTAATAAAAATGGATACAGACACCAGACAGACAGACAGACAGACAGAAGACAGACAGACAGACAGACAGAAGACAGACAGACAGACGGAAACAAGAGACAACTTTTTTCGTACTGTAGGGGTCATGAAACATCGAGAAAACATAAATGTGGCACTTCGTCTGATGGACTCGATTACTATACTTACTTACTTAGCTTACGCTCGGGAAGTAAAAATAAACAAAAGAAGGCTACAAAAGACAATAAAAAAGTCACAAAAAAGAATTAAAAAAATCCCGACAAAATTTGCATATTTCAGAGAGCATTTGTTCGGAAAAATTTTAAGTTGACGTCATCAATTTTTTGGGAGGGGATAAACGAATAAATTTTGCTTAACGATTTACAATGATTACGATAACTTTGTAATATTTACAAGATTTTAGGACATTCAGTTTTGCAGTTTCAAAGTTAAATTGCAAAATATTGTTATACAGCTTTGCGTTTCTTTCCAAAAATCTGAATTTTCACGGTGAAAATTCGACAGGGATACACACACCCACAAGTATTTTCATTTATAAAATTTAAAAGAACTTTCTATTATAAATTTTGGAGATGACGTCGTTCCATTAGTGGTGGGGATGGTTAGCTAAATTTTAGTTAGCGTTTAACAATCTACATGTTATTCCTTACTAATATACTTACAAAATTTGACAATGCAGTCGGTCCAGTAGTTTTGGAGAATACGTGTCTAATAAAAATGGATACAGACATCAGATAAACAGGCAGACAGACAAACAGACCTATTTTTTCGTAGTCTAGAGATTACGACACGTCGAGAAGATATGAAAGTGGCAATTTGCCTGATGGACTTCCTTAGCTTACGTTCGGGAAGTAAAGAGGAGAAAAAATGTGTTACTTAAAAATGGGACAAAAAAATTTACAACATGGCGACTACAAACAGTGACATGAAGAAAAGGCGACTAAAAAAATGACAAGAAAGATCACAAAAATGCCTGAAAAAAAAATTCACAAAAAAAAAGGCAACTACAAAAAAGTGATAAAAAAATGCCGCAAAAGATGTAACAAAAAAATTGGTCGAAGTTTATTTCCATAGAACTTCCCTCGCTCCTGAAAGAATATTGAGTAAAAAATGAGGCCAAAGAAACTCGACAAACAATGCGACTAAAGAAGTGAGTTGGAAGAGGAGATTAAAATGGAGACAAAAACAGTTTACAAAACAGTGGACAAAAAATCAACGAAAAAATCAACTACAGAAAGACAAAAAGCCTATAAAAAGAGATAACTAAAAAATGGTGAAAAAATGTCGCAAAAAATGCAACATATGTAAAAGGTGATGGAAAGTGGATGAAAAGTACATAAAAACTGAGAAAAGGACACACAAAAAAAGAAGAGATTAGAGAAAGGAGGCAAAAGAAGGTGGTCAAAAGTGGCGACGAAAATAGATTACAAAAAGTGAACATGAAAGAAACGCTACAAAGAAAACGATGACAGGGTTACAAAAACAGAAATAAAAAAAAGGTGACTAGAGAAAGTGATAAAAAGACTATTAAAAATACAAAAAAAAATACAACAATAAGAGGCCATAAAAATGCAAGAAAAAAGTCAACTGTAGAAAAACACAAGAGAAAACAAGCAAAAAAGCAACAAAAAAATCACAAAAAATAAATTAAAAAAGACGACAAAAATGCGAAAACGGGGAACAAAAAAAAATGTGAAAAATAGACTGCTACGAACGTGACAAAATACGGACGCCAAAAAAGTGACTAAAAGAAGGGAGTCAAAAAGGCTATCAGAAAAAGGTGACCACATCAAGTGGCAAAAAACAACAGCCGACAAAAATCACAAAAATAAAAATACGAGTATGTTATTTTAGGAAATTTAGGTAACATTTACTATGTAAAATTTTGAGATGACGTCATCAAATTGTTGGTGCTGGTTGGTGGATGATCACTGATCAGACAAAATTTGGTTAGTGGTTTACCATCTACATAATAACAGTCACCCAGGTAGTTTTGGAAACTTGTTTTAAATAAAAATCCACACAGACAGACATACTCTACGGGTTATGAAACGTCGCCTAAAGGAACCTGTTACAATACTTCCCTAGCTTAGACTTGGAAAGTAAATTTTGCTAAAATTCCATTTGGCAGCAAAATATACCTAATGCAATTGGAGATACAAGGGTTGCTATATCTACCGTCTTAAAAATAAAAGACTTTCATTCATTATTTACATTTACAGTTGCCAAATTTACTATTTATAAAAATACGACTTTCGTATAATTCACATCGGAAAATACAGGTTTCTATTTTACTAAAGGATAATTATGCTTCTTTACTTCTTTAACATAAAACATAACATTTATCCAAGAAACTGGATTTGTTTGATTGTACTTCAGGAGTAAGGACAGTTCGATTGAAATAAATTTTGACTGTTTTTCACTTAGTTTTTGCATGCAAAGAATCAAGTTGCCAACTTGCCATATGACTAAATAAAATTTACATATTTAAATATATAATTGCTAGGGTAATGTCCACAGTGCGCGTACAAGTGACCTTCACCAAAATATGTAATTTCGGCGCAATGTCAGTACGACTAAAAGCCTACCTTTGTAAAAAGAGTCGTGGCAAAATTGGATTACTCACATTCAGTTGTGTACAGACCGTTTGCTCACCTAGATAAGCTGTAACAAATTTGCTTCTTTCGTTCGGAGGTATCCACCTAGCAGTCATATTGTGCATTGCCGGCCACGCAAATCCCTAAAAATATTTGTAAAGGTTAACGAGAACATAAGGGCGAATGTTGGCTTTGAAGCGGCTTGAAATTAGCTCGAAATTAAAATAAAATAAAAAACCTAAAAATAAATACCGGAAAGGTCTGGAGTGGTTTAAAGTGGTTGTGATTTTAACGAAATGCTTTTTGGACGGGGAAGGGTTATTTTAATGTTGAAATTAAGGCAGCGTTAAAAGAAAATACTGAAATTTCCCCGATATTAAACTAGTAATAATAAACATAATTAAACTTTTCGCTTCAGGTGCGGGGTAAGCTTTGAAACAAGGCTAAAGTTGAACGCTTTGTTTGTAACTGATTAAATTCACGGTACTTTGTTTCAACATCATTTAAAACATTTTAAAATTAAATTATAAACAAAATGTCATGCGATAAAAAAATGAAGCTATTTAGTTTGAATAAAATTAACTAACTTACAGCTAGTATTCCCTGCACAATTCTAAGTGCGATGAGATATTGGTGACCCATGAAAGCCGACATTGGTATAAAGAAGCAGCAAAGGATGGCAGTAAAGTTTGCTAAACCAAAGACCAGCTTTGCTCCATATTTTGAGCCGAGTATTCCCCCAGGAACTTGTGTGAGCCAATGCAGCCAAAAGAAAGCACCCAGTATACTGGATTGCTGTTTTTCGTTCCATGCGAATGTATTTGGCTGGGTCTCCACTGGAGTGGCGTTTATGAAGATTTCGTTCTAAAAAAATTGGTCTAAAGAGTTTAGACAGTACTTCCCTCGCTGTCGGAAACTTGACGACTGCATGCCTATTGTGTTTTTTTTCTCGTTACATTTTTGTAGTGGGAATTTAAAAAAAAAATGCCATGACGTCATCAACATTTTTGCAAGGACACGTATATCAGTTGGGATAGTAGTGTAATACTAAGAATAAAATTATTGTATTCCCAAATTTTCGGGAAAATGAAATATTGATTTGTAATAATCAATAAAATGACGAAACAATTTACTCACGTATACGGAGCCGGCGTGTACTAGGAGAGGCAACTGAAAATCGTTTATGTATAAACATTCTTAATTTAAGACGACAAGCGTAAAATAGCATACGTGAGAGTCAAACGAGAAACTGTAAACAAAACCGATGGTCGTCTAGAGGTTATTATTGCTTCGACTTCCGCTTATTATATAAAACATTGGGTTTTATTTTAACTTTTGACGGTGGAATTCACAATTGGTTGATTATAAACATGTCTATACCACATTCGCGGAACCTAGTCAGCGCACAAAACAAATGCACGTCTGTAATGTTAAAGTAAATATAAATAAGCGTGCAACCTTTATGTTTCAACCGAGTTTTTACTTTACAAAATTTTGTGTCTACCAAATTGGGTTGGTCCAATGTAATACTAATAATAAGTGTTGCCTTTAATTTAATCAATAAAATAAATTGACTTCATTAATTTTTTTGAGCCACCTCTTAAGCAAATCTAAAAAATATGAATGAAATAATAAATCACAAGTACAAACTCATCATATTTTTTGCATTTTAGATACGATTTATTCAGCAAAATTTAGTGGTGACGTTATCAATTTTTTTAGGGGGGATGAACAAATACATTTTGAACAAAAGTTTACCATGCTTATGATAACTTTAAAATATCTCCAAGATTTCAAAGCATTCGGTTTTGTAATTCCCGATTAAATCGATAAAATAAATTCACGCATTCATTAATTTTTTTGGTTCACCCTGTATACGCAAATCCAAAAATATGAATGGAATGATAAATCACAAGTACAGACTCATCATATTTTCTACATTTTATATAGGATTTATTCAGCAAAATTTTAGGGTGACGTCATCAATTTTTTAGGGGGATGAACAAATACATTTTGATAAAAAATTTACCATGCTTATAATAACCTTAAAGCATCTCCAAGATTTCAAAGCATTCGGTTCTGTAATTCCTGATTAAACCAATAAAATAAATTCATGCATTCATTAATTTTTTTGAGTCACCTTTATATGCAAATCCAAAAAATATGAATGGAATGATAAATCACAAGTACAGATTCATCATATTTTTAACATTTTAGATAGGATTTATTCACCAAATTTTAAGGGTGACGTCATCAATTTTTTTAGGGGGGATGAGCAAATAAATTTTGATAAAAATTTACCATGCTTATGATAACTTTAAAACATCTCCAAGATTTCACAGCATTCGGTTCTGTAATTCCTGATTAAATCAATAAAATAAATTGACGCATTCATTAATTTTTTTCAGTCACCCTGTATATGCAAATCGAAAAAATTTGAATGGAATAATAAATCACAAGAAGAGACCCACCATATTTTGTACATTTTAGATAGGATTTATTCAGCAAAATTTTGTGGTGACGTCATAAATTTTTTAGGGGGGACGACCAAATACATTTTGATCAAAAATTTACCATGCTTATGATAATTTTAAAATATTTTCAAGATTTCAAAGCATTCGGTTTTGTAGTTCCTGAGTAAATTAATAAAATAAATTTTGCGCATTCATTAATTTTTTTGAGTCACCCTGTATATGCAAATCCAAAAAATATGAATGGAGTGATATATCGCAAGTACGGACGCATCATATTTTGTACATTTTAGATATGATTTATTCGGCAAACTTTTGAGCTGACGTCATCAAGTTTTTGGAGGGGATAACCAAATATATTTTGACTAAAGATTTATGATGCTCTTTAGAGCCTTAAAACATCTGCAACATTTCAAAACATTCGGGTTAGCAGATTCAAAATTAAATTGGAAAATGTTTTTTAATTTTGATTTTTTTTCCAAAAATCTGGACGTTTCGGGTAAAAACTCAATTCGGAGTCGTAAACAACATGTGTAGGACTATGTTATTTTATACAATTTAAGACCCATTTACTATGTACAATTTTAAAGTGACGTCATCGCATTAGTGGTGGGGATGATTAGACAAATTTTGGTTAGCGTTTTACCATCTACATGATATTCCTAATAGAAGTACAAAATTTCGTAACAATCGGTCCAGTGCTTTCGGAGATTATCTGTCTAATAAAAATCCGGGACGGCAGACAGACGGACAGACGGACAGACGGACAGACGGACAGACGGATAGATGGACAGATGGACAGACGGACAGACAGATGGACAGACAGACGGAAATGGGGACCTATTTCTTCGTCTTCTAGGGGTCATGAAAGATCGAGAAAACATAAAAGTAGAGAGTCGGCCGACGGACTCGATTACAATACTTCCTTTGCTTACGCTCGGGAAGTAATAAAGTGAAAATTAGTGATCCAAAAACCGAACTATGAGGCACCCCTGATCCCTGAGTATAATATTTCGACCGATAACCGCAATGGGTTATATACAGACAACAACGCCTTAAATATGACTTAAGTAAAGTTATTATTAAGAGATTGCTATAACACAAGGTGTACGTCCTAAGTAAGAGACGATGTACGTAATTTGGTGACGTAGTGGGCAGCGAAAATTAAATCAGGAAAACTAGATAGGAAGTACAGTTCACAAAATCTCTGGTCACGGGGGCGCCAATTCTTATGGGGGCGCGGCCCGCACAAATACAGACAATATGAAATATATTAAAACAGTTGGGCAACGGAAAAAAAATCTCAATTTCTCAATACATGCTTAACTTGGACTGTTTTTGTTCATACTTCGGAAGAATTCGTCTATTAGCACGTTCATATTACAATCATCAACCTTTAAAAGATAAACATTTAAATTGGATTGGTTTGGTCTCCTCAAGTCACTCAATTTTTTCTTAAAAAACTAGATGTCTCGCATAAACAGTCATAAATTTGACAACATTTATTCGGCAAAACTGTAAGATGACGTAATCACTTTTTTGGGGGGGAGGGAGGCATAAACGGAAAAATTTTGACTAACTATTTACCATGCCTCCTATATGTTTAAAATAAGTTCATAGGATTCGGTTTTGCAATTTCAAAGTCAAATTGTAAAATGTTAAACAATTTTGATTTTTTCCCAAAAAAAAATTTGGATGCTTAAAAACACAGATTAATAAAATTACCTCATCATTTTTTGATAGCCTAACGACGTTTGCAAGATTTCAAAGTATTCGGTTTTGCAGTTTTAAAGTTTAATGGCAAAATGTTGTTATAATTGTTTCTTCAAAAATCTCGATATCTGAGGTAAAAACCCGACACGGATTCATAAACCACAAGTGCAGGATTATCTTATTTTATAAAATCTAAATAACATTAACTAGTATTGTAAATGTTGGAGATGACGTAGTCCTACTGTTGGTTGGGATTTTGGCTATAATTTTTTGTTTGTCTTATGTATTTTTTTAAATACTTACATATGTCTACGTATATACTCTACCGCGTTTGCAAATTTTTTTACAGTGCAATGCAATTTTTAGATGTTTGACGGCATTCCACTTTCTACTGGTTTTTATCACTTAGGGTTTGTTTGCACAACAACGTTATTGTGTGTTTAATTTCACAGACCAATAAAATTTTAGTGGATACAAGAATAAAATTGTAAGAATAATTGTTCTACTAAATACATGTGTAGGTAAGCGAAGAAAAATGTTGCTTCTCCGGTGGGAATCGAACCGCACGTTTACCGCTTGCCGGGCGGGTGCCCTTACCACTGGACTACGGAGGAGCTTATCTTTCTTCGCTTACTACTACGTATTATTGTGCCGCCACACATGTTTCTGTCTTGGTGAATGTAAACATTAACAATAATTCAAAGCGATACAAAAAAAAAATAAGAATAAAAAAGTCAAGTCAGTAGCTAGTAGAAATATTAACAAAACATAGGTAAGTAAATGTTGTAAAATGATTTAATACTTAGCATCTGTTTAATTTTTCGAAAGTACTACTTTTTCACTGTTTATTTCTGGCTATCCTGAACCACGAATTTCAAAGTAAGTGCTATAGAAATAATAAATATAACATACCCTTTTTACAAGTTTTAATTAGATAATGTTAACCAGGAGTTTTATTTGAAAGGCCAAGAAAATGTAGATTCCGACACATTTACAGTAAAATTTAGTCATAGACGTAAAATGTAACAAGTTTTATAAACGCGTCTTTAGTTAGGATTTTGTTTACTCACGACTGTAGCAGAGTGGAGCAAGTGTTTAAAAAACGAGTGTCTGGAGAAATTTATGAAGATTCTACGTACTATTAGTGACTACGTATTTAAAATGCATTCAAAAAGATCCCTGTGTCTTATTATCTAGACATACCTAAAATTTTTACGTTTAGCTTTGTTTTCTTTTTTTAGTTTAGTTTAGCTTTGTATAGATGCCAACGTCGTTGGCGAAACGCGTCGGCAAATAGTTTGTGTGTTTTTGGTGTTGTGCGGATAATCGTTACATTATCGTTATTTACAGTCAAACAACCTGGAGTAATCGTTGTGAAGTTTAAAATGTATTTTAAGAATATCAAGAAGGTGGCACAGTATATAAACCAGAATATGTTTGAACATCCTAATCAAAAGTTTGATAACGTCACCTCAAAATTTTGCTACATATATATTACTTATTACTATTATTGTTATCATCATTAATATTGTTATAGATTGCGATTTATTAATACATGCCTATACCACTTGGAAAAAAATTAAACTTTACAAAAACATTTTACAATTTAATATTGAAACTATTAAGCTAAATGCCCTGAAAATTTGCACACTATTGAAAGTTATCTTGAACATGGTAAGTTACCAATTAAAATTCATTTTTTCATTGCTTCCAAAAACTTCTAGACGTGACCTCAAGGTTTTATTAAATAAATATTATTTGAAATTTATAGTATGACATCCTCCTTTATTTGTGGTTTAACATTTTTTAGAATTGTTTAGGAGACGATGGGTTAAAAAATATTTTAACCAACTAACATTGATTATCCTTTTATTATATTTTGAAAAAAAGAACGCTTGAAATTTGAACGTGAATTCGACAGTTTTTAACTTGCATTTTCGTATTATTAGAGTTAAGAAAGTTGCGTTTAAATGTTTTCAGATTTAATAAACATGCACAAAAAATTTTGACGTTATTTATTTTTAAGATTCCATTAAAAACTTTGATCTCATGTTATTTTGTTTTTATGATAGTAAACGTTTTAGATATCTAAATTAAATCGCATATTTACGGGAAAAACAATGTATGTAGCTGAAAACAGTACACTTTGTAGATCTAAATAATTGCTATCTGACGTCAAAATATTTTTTTAATAATCTAAAAAAATTAATAAATTTCCATGCTCAGATTTTTAGCACACGTATGTATTTATTCTGCTTAATTAAGCACAAAGACGGACATTTTAATTTCTGTCAGTAGTTAAATAATGTTATCAGTGTATGTATGAATATGCAATCAAAGTTGATCTAAAGTTAACCGAAATTTGCATCGTGAATATTTTAGTGAAAATTTTCTATATTTGAACTCAATCAGCATATTTTATAAATATATGATAAATTGTATTATTTTTCAAAAGACGTATCATAAAAAAGTGTAATTTTTTATTTTATTTATTAATATGTATTTTTTTTGGGACTGGAAAGTTATTTTGATTTAATTTGGAATATTACTTACTTTAAAAGAAGTCAAGTTGTAATTTAGTTCACTATCTCGTGCAAGAGAAGAGTTGTCAATTTTTGATTTATTATTATCCAGACATTCACTTGTTAGTGTAAGATTATTATTACTTCTGTATTTCACCATTGATACAATGGCTATATTTAAATTCGTTCTCAACATATAGTTGACGGCAAAACCTAAAAAAACTAAATGCCAGAGTACATTTCTGGCAGTACAACATTCTGTTGAACCTATAAAAAAAAATATGAGAAATATACTTTTTTTATTACCGAAACGTACCATTTGGAACTTTTCCCATTTTCTTTGAATATCTTAACTAATATCACAGTCACTCAAGAAAAAATAAAATCAATTTCATCGCCTTTGCCGCCGCTGACCGAATAGCACAAATCGTGAGAAAAACAAATTCAAACCTAACATAAACTGTATCAGCCTTATCACCTAATCACATTGTTTGTGAATGTTCTTATTGTTATAATTGTTATAAATAATACTCTGAAAATATAACGCTGTGTGCAAACAAATTCTCGTGCGTCTACGAATAATACATAGAAAAAATAGTCATCTTCCCAAATATTTGTTTCCAAATTGTTGCGTAATGTTACCTGTTCGAAACCATGTTCTAAATGCGTAATCCGGGTCAAAGGTGGCGGTGAGTGTTAGGGGTTGCTCCAGCAGATAGCGATCGATGAGTCGCCCACCACCCTGCAGATGGCGCACAAAGCGCAATTTTTACGAAAATGTAATTTGTAAGTAGAAATGGGAACTCTAATCGAACAATAACATTATTGTTCAATTAATTTATTGGGTGCATAAATTAATTTATCTTTATTGCTGCAGGGGTATATGGTAATGACAGTTATATTGGAGCGTATTACGGTGTGTTGGATGAGGAATAAACTGGATTTGCTACTGCATTTTAGTATACTCGTTATTAATATATTTGATAAAGATAAATAAATATTAATGTTGCATAAATTATAGATGCTTTGGGAAGGTATCACACAGGCACGTGAATTATGGAGTGCTGATAAATTTATATGGAATCGATGAAATATAGTATGGGCGTTTTTATTTTTATCCATATGATAATTTGTGTGACATTTTTACAACTACATTTGATAGCCAACTGTAAAGATGTAAAAAATGCCTTTAAAAACTTATGGCGCAAATGATCTATTAGATATAGAGGTATAAATGTAAACTAAATTTTTTTAATAGTAAACAGTGAATTTCAAATTCAACATTAGCAAGAATTGTTTTTGTTTTTTAATAAAACCGATGTAATGAATTATGAAAAATGGTATTTTCTGGTGATTATTACACCGAGGAAATCCATACCGTTAGCACCATAAAAGAGACATTAAGAAAAAAATTGCTACAGTTTGCAAAAACCTGATAAATGGTGTTATAGAAATTTCAGGACACTAGGTTTTGCAGGTTTAAAGTTAAATGTTGTTATTACACAATATTTGCTTTGTTTCTTTTTTTTAGAAAAATCTGGATGTTTGGAGAGAAAGCAAGACGGATTCATAAACCACAAGTGTATGAAGGACCAGGTTATTTTTGATGCGACGTCGTCCCAGTGTGGGTAGGGATGATTAGGCAAATTTGGGTTAGCATCTTGCCATCTACACGATGAAATTTGCTGACAATGGGTCCAGTAGTTTTGGAAATTATCTGTCTAATAATTATCTGCAAAGACTGTAGAAGTGTAGACGACAGACGGAAACGGAAGACTCATTTTTTATATTTTCAGGGTCATGTTAAAAAAATGATTTGGATTATTTGGTTTCCTAATTTATCGCAGTGACATGATATGCACCAAGTACATTAATTCAAATCTACTTGATGCAGAGAGCTAACCCAGAAATGGCTTATCTAATTTTCTGAGATTTTAGACATTTGATAATCATGTGTGATTAGGTTATCTGAAAATCTTATTAGGTAAATCTCACTTCAAAGATGTATTATAAACTCTTTAGTAATGCATAAGCGTTTATATAAAAATTTCCAACTTTACAATTTATCCCAGAGGAGACAAAATACCTAACTTCCGTGAAACTTTATTACGATACAAAAATTAATTTAAAGAATTTCGAAATAAATAAATAAATAATTTGCAGTCAACAAAAAAATATGTTTTACACACGTCAAATAAGTAGGTAAATATAATAAAAAAATTGCCCCGAATAACAGAGATTTAAGATATATAATGCATGATAATTCACAGAAAAACATCTAATAAAAATTTATCATGCTTAGTGCATAAATTGTGAACATGGAGTTTAAAAACCGCCCAAAAAATTGGTTTAAAGTTATTTAGAAAAATTTCCTTAGCCCCTGATGCACAGGAGTTTTAGAAAAATTATAAAACTAAATTTTGCGTATTTTATTTTTTTATGATAACGTCATCAATTTTTTGGAATGGCATAACCTGGATAAATTTTGATTAACGATTTACTACGCTTACGACAACGTTAAAACATTTGCAAGATTTCAGCAGAACATTCGGTTTTGCAGTTTTAAGGTTAAATTGCAAAATGTTATTACAGAATTTAGATTTTTTTTCCAAAAATCTCGATATCTAAGATAAAAACTCAATACGGATTCGTAAATGACAAGCGCAGGAGCATCTTATTTTGTAAAATTTAAATAAAATTTGATATCATAATTTCTGTTCATTTTTTATTGTTGCTTACTAATATAATAATTTATAATAAACGATAGGTATATAGTATATTACTAAAACAATTTTTTTCCTTTTATTGAAATTTTGTAGAAACTGTAAAATTGTTTTAAAAAATAAAAAGTATAAAAAACTTTATCTTAGTTTTCTAAGAGGATTTTTCATCATGGCAACTGTTCTCAATTTAAACCACCTTTACTGCTTCCAAGAGCACGAAAATGAGAAAATATGCAGACACCTTCTGGTGCATGTATTGTTCTTATTGATTTCCTCAAAAGTTACAAATATTAAGAATTTCAGCTCCGATACATAAATTGACTCGTCCTTTCATATTCTCAAAATACTGAAGTAACACTTTCACACTCTTATATGATTCTCCCTTTTAGATCTTCAATTGTATCTACTGTTTGTCTACAAATAGTGGTTTTCAAAGTCGGGAACAAGAAATACTCTAAAGGTGTCAAATCAGGCGATCGAGGCGGGTAGATATGGTCTGTGGGGAAGATAACTAAACGTCGTCATAAAATTTTTTTAGAAAGTTTAAGCTTGTTTGAGCTTTAGTTGTTTAAAACGATGTATTATTTCATTAATTAATTTAGTTCTAGTTAGAAGCAAAATGCAGTTTGGTAAACTTTACAATAGCTATATCAACACATAGCTTACGCTCGCTAGATGTTGTACATTACGATAAGGAGACATTGTGTCGTTACAAATTAAAATAACGACTTTGTGGTACTAAGTAAGTGTAAAATAATGTTTTGTGGTAACGATTTTTGTGTTATGACAATAAATAACAATAAATAATAAAATCACTTTTATTTTACGTAGAAACGTTATTCATATGCAATAATTACAGTACAGTTTGGCAAGAAACAAATGATACCACAATAATAACAACCAATATGCTATTTGTTCGAACAGCAGCACCTTCTTGCATTTGCGAGATCCTTGTCTTAACAATAGGTAAAATAAAAACAAACCCTGTCTGCATTCTGATGCTATTGTTATATGTCGAAAGTTTCTTCTCGTAATGATGTTGTTGTTTAGAAATGTCGACTTTCCACGTGCATCTGACATGATTCCTGAAAACCTAAAAGTTTTCAGTTTCTGCATAATTTTCCTTTAAGTTAAAAGGACATATATCTTTAGAAAAAAAAGCTTGATTATTGGAATTTCATGGAAAACAATAATTAAATTTCGTTTCAGTATAGGATCCTATTTATATATAAAGACAGAAGTAGTACGTAGGTAGAGTGGAAATTCTTTGAGAAGGACTCACGAAATTTTGTGAAACCTATTAATGCTTATTTTTGTAATAATTCTAAACGGCTTTTTTTTTTAATTGAAACAACAATTTTGTTATCTAGACTGTGCAATCAGGTGACGTAGGAATAGTTTCGAATTACATAATTACTTGGATGCAAAGAACATTACAAAAATTTTCCATTTGTTTAAGTGTCTTAAATGAGATATGATCAAGTGTTAGCTGATAAAATATATAGGTCCTTGCTTCCATGAGCGTAAACATAGGAGGTGTCAACGAATGTTTAATTTAATGTTTATCGATAGTTGACAATTTGTGGAATACAAAAATGTTGGTTATTTGTTTCTGTTTGTCAGTGTAGGGGCAGTTTTATTTGATACATAATCCCACATGTTACTAAATTTTATCGAGAAATTTTAGGTATTTTAAGATTATCGTGTGAAGGGTACCAAATTAAAAAAAAAGTAATTTGGCAAAATTCTAATTTTTCTCCCTCGTTACAAAAATTTATAGACACTATTTTTGTTAAAGTATTTTTTTCTTTTCAATTACATGTTTAGCTTGAAAGTCTATGCTTCAAATTTTTGTATAAAATTAACACACTATGATTTATTATTATTACCTAATATTTTGGAAATAAATTTGTAATAAATATAATTAATAAGATAGAGTTTACTCTACAGTGAGTCTTTATTTCTCTGAATAACATTTTGAAATCTTATTCTAATTTTCTTCTTCGACACATATTTTTTTTAAGGACAAGCAGTTTTTAGTGAATTCTTAGTTGAAATTTAAAATCTTTTTACTACTGGTTAAGAGGAGGCCCTTTGTTATGAAATTTTTAAGTATAATCTGTCTACAAATGTTTCTGTATAATGTAAAGGATTTTTTTTTAAACAGTTTATCGTCATCTTCTTTTTAAATATGTGGCGAAATTTTTCATCACGTATCCTTAAAAGTCAATATCTCAATCATTTATGGAAATTTTGAAACGATGTTTTCACTACTGTCTTTAACTTACAAAACTATAGATCGTAGAGAAAATATCGTCGACGAAGAAGACATAAAAGATAAATGTCAGATGTAACAAAATAAAATAATAATAACAACAGTCAGTGATGGTAGCCTACTGAGGTCGAAACAGGACGTGAATATAATACCAGAAAAGAGCACAAATTAAATCATGTGAAAGGAGAAAGAGAGGAAAGTATGGAACGCAAGACTTTAAGGAAAAGTAAACCTAGCAAAATAGCAATACATAAAATACATGAAGAGACAAATGAAAATGGAATGGAAATAAATTATTTACCAGTTTTGGGTGTCATAGAAGTACGTATGAATATAAAGAAGAAAATTATTGAAAGGGGAGAAGAGAAAAAATTCAGTAAGACTCATACTTGTCTTTCAGAAGCAAAAAAGCTTAAGGGAACGAAAATATACATTAATGAAGACTATAACAAAGACACAGGACTGCATATAAATGGAAATAATATAGACTGAGGCAAATGAAGGAAATTGGAATTATTGCCAATGATTATAATAATTAAGGTTAAAGGAAAAAGGAAAAAGGAAAGACCAAAGGAAGAAAATATAGTGAGAAATCAGCAATGGTGTATGAGCAGGAAGAGAAAGAAAAGCTAAAGATAAGGGGTCAGAAAAGGAAAAGGAAACTAGGTTCAGTTTAGTTGGTTTGGTAGTTAATAAAAAGGAGAAAGCTTTTGTTTAACGAAAATCAGTCGTAACGACGACGACACCACAGTTTCCCCAACACACGTAGCTAATTCTTGAGGTTTTTTTAAGCGGAAGTAGGCGAATTTTCGACCGACGCTAACACGTGTATAAATTTGTGTTATTGTTTGTAAATTTACAGTTCACGTTAGGAGTTTAATCGTTAACTAGTTCTAACACAGTTTAACAATCAGAAATATATTTAGGGCGGGCATTTACTAGGAGATTTCAAGAAATTCACTTAGTCAGGATAACACCCCTTGTTTACAAAATTATGAATAAGTTTCTAGATGCTTATACTTAAGTATTCCTCATATAAGATTGCTAATAGTTCATTAACGGCAGTTAAATTAACCTAACGTTGCTCCATTCTGGAAAAAGACCGTGGAAAGTGCGGTAGAATTCATAGTATCGTGGAGTGAGGTACGGGGGGACTAAAAATTTCTTCGCTTAAGCAGTTATTATCATCAAATCATCATCAGATCACCGAGAAGCTTTTCTCGCAAGACCTGATGCATTTTGTGTTTATTTATCATGTGTTTTGTTTGGGTTAAGCTGGGGACAGTCCACGATATAAACTCTCAAAGTTAATGGTTTTACGTAACCAGTCACTTGGATCAAGGCATCATTTAACATAATGTAAATTCTTTGTTTGAATCGTTGATAAAGTGTGGCATAATTTAACGTTAGGTAAATTTTTTGTTCTGGTAGCGGCCATGTTAAAGAGTATTTTCAAACCGAGCACATGTTTGAACTCTAAAATCTCGTTGAACAAATTAATAACATTGTGGGTCATCATTAAACCATTATTTACACAGCGCCACAGGATTGATCACATTTTTGGGGGACATATTTTTGACGCATATTTTTTGAACAACGCATTCGTCCGATGCCAGTTTCGACCTCCAAATTGTCTGCTATGTTTTTGTTAATGTTTGTTTGCGGGGGAATGTATAACAATGACCACAATGCAGCTAAATATTTCAGTTTTAAAAATTAACCAATAACTCGCATGGACATAAAATATTAAAGTCATGTAATGCTGGTAGCTTTGCAATTTTTCACTTCATCCAATTTTTCCATGCTCTGCCGTTCCTAATCTCACGTAACTTTTATCTGCACAAGTGTTATTTCACACCAGATCTTTTTTGCTTTTATAAATCTTTGCTAGTTTTTTTTCGTGTAAATATTTTGTTGATTAATGCTTCCATCATATAAATTGTCTGATGTCCAATCTTAATCTTAGAGAAAAATTCTTTGCTGTTTAAAAATTTCACGAGAGTGTATGGCGAATTCAAACGTTGTTCATTGCTCTTTTGAAACTTTAATACTTGTTCAGTTGTAGTTTAATATCAATGTCATCGAAATTGAACATTTAAATGGAACTGAGGTTAAATAACACACAAACACGTAGCGGAAGCGGAGTGCGCGGTTCCTTGTCGAGCTGGCGGCCGCGCCATCTGCACAAAAGATGCAGGTCTTGAATAGAAATCAGGGACGGTCGGGATGACGTGACGCTCGCGGATTGGCCCAATAGCCGGGATTTCCAACCACGAGTTGACGACTCTGTAATCATAGGGGAAGATTTCAATGTACGAATAGGAGAAAATGGGGAAGAATAGGCAATACAGAAGATGATGGAAGATAAATAAGGAAGAAAAGCAACTGTTGGAAATAGTCGAAGAGAGAGGATGAGAAATCTTGAAGGAAATAAAAGTGGGGATAATGAAGACGAATTAACCTATGGAGAACTGAGAGGGCAATCGGTAATAGATTCAAACTAGGAACAGATAGACTCCGAACATATGATACTGGAAGTTGAAATAGAAAAAATATGATACAAAACAGAAAAAAGAACAGAAGAAAGTACACACATTATGTGAGACTAACATGGGGTGAGAGAGCTTTTGGGAGATATGAAGAAAATATAAGAACGCACACTTTCGTTGATGCAGAAATTAAGGTAGAAATTGGTGTAAGAAGAAGTGGAGAGAGAAAAAATGACCGGTGCAATGAGGAATGTTTCGTCTCATAAAGAAAAGGAAGGGAGATATTAATAAGATGGAAAAGCCAAAAAATAACAAAAAAAGAGTTCCTCAAAATTAGAAAAACATATAGAAGTAAATTCAAAGACTAAAAGTAGCAACTAATGAGGAAAAAAGCGTAAAAATTAAAGAAAATTAAATCAGAGAAAGAAATAAAGGGCAAAGAGTACAGAATAACAAGAAAGGATTGAAATAAAAAAAGACCAAATTTACGAAATGAAGCCAATGACAGAGGGAAAATTAGAGGGGAACTAGTGATACTAAAAAGGGAAACGAAGTCGGGAAGATGGGAACAATTGAAGCATGCCTAAGTGACAGATATTATGAACGAGCTGTGGATGGACGAAAGTATATTAAACCAGTGATATACAAGAAGAGAGATACGGAGAAGACTGAACACTACTTATAAAAAATCTTTGATAAATACGAGAAAATGTAAATAAGAAGAAAAGTTTGTTGGCAAACTGCGTTGTGCTCTATGGCAAGGTCAGTGGAAATTCTTTCATACATAATCCATTTGAATATTACCAAGTTTCATCTACTTTTATATCGTTTCGATAGTAAGACATTATCATGAAAACTTGGTATTGTTCAGAAAAAGTCATTCTTAGTAAAAATGTCGTAAACAGCAAACTCACCCACCAGTTCTGAAAAGGACAGATTTTTATCACATCACGCAAACAAAACAAAAGATGAAATAACAATAAAACGCGAAAAATTGATACGACTATCGAAAATAGTTACCTTGTTATAAATAAACAGCAAATAATAATTCCAACGCCTGTCACTTTTTATTGTATCCCTTAGTTTATAATGAACAATCCATTTTAAACTGAACAAATTTTCCGTAATTATCAAAGTAGAAAGATTACAACTCTGCAACCAGATTTTCATTCGCTTTACGGCACTTACATATTTTAAACAACACTTTGAGATGCAAGTAGCATTAAAGTAATTTTGATAATGTTTTACACACATTTGGTTTCACGGGGGATGAAAACGTTGCGTTGATATTTTTCGACGCCCCCAGTGTTTATATTTTGTCAGTTATCGTCCATCTCGTGATCGTCTTGTCCATACTGATTTTAATCGCCTTTTCTACCCTTTCCTCTTGAGATATCCTTTCATTTAACAACCACTGACCCACCGCCCCTTTAATCGGCTTACGTCATAAGCCAAATTCCCCCGTCAGACTAGCATCTACAACGTAGGGCGAGCAATATGCGTCGGAACTGTAACGACCCCTCTTCGCTTTGTTTATTTTTTAACGACAATAAATGCGATGTTTATCGCGGTTCTGTTTCGAAAACATATATTTATCAGAAAGTTTCGTGCTTAAGAGGTAGCAGGAACGGCGAGAAGAGACGATGTGAAAAGTTGTTTTTTAAGGGACGAGTCGGGGCTAACTCGTATTAATGGCATGCACGTCTTGCTGCTGCAAATTATTGTGGTGGGATGGATTAATTGATGAACGTGTGTACAATTTACTAAATATGGGTTCGCGTGTACCGTGATTGATATAATTAGAACTTGAAGGGGTGAATATCTGGGGGTTTAACGCAAAAGAGAAATTACATTCGGGCGATGAAATTGTTACAAAAATAACTGCTTCGGGTTTCGGTTTTTGTAATTATTTGTTGATGGTTTATCATTTTACTCGTTTTAGTCTAGAACGGAATTTATTTCGGTATCGTAACTCATGAAAATTTTATCTCCTTCATTTTAAATATCAAAATATTCAATTTTCCACATAAAAATATATTTTTAAAATGTTTAAGAATTCGTTTTGACGTTTACTATGACGTATGAATTGCCGTGGAACATGACATAATTATCTGACTTGGTGCCGGAAATAACAAGGTGCGACATCGACTTTGGTTTTCATACGTCACTTGACACTCTATGTCAGATAAAAAAAAACATCGGATATCATGCTTTTAGCATGTTTTAGTTAAGGATTAGTCGTCACTTGACAAGTTTCGTTGACATTTATATCACAAATGTGAATTACTTTTAATCTCAGACACGTTGGCGTGATATTACAAAAGTAGAAAATTTTTCAAATGAGCCAGGCTTAATTATAACTAATAATATTAGTGTCTAATTTTGTAGTAGAGTACTTTAGGCAGAGTTTGGTTATTTACATACCAAAAATGAAAAATGTTACAAATTTGATCATTAAACTTGTAACCTACAATCCGAAATATTGATACTAATACTTTGTCTTAATTGTTGCTACATTTTCTCTGTCGGCATTTTAACAAATCGAACATACTATCAAAGACAAATTTTCAAAAATCCATGGCTGATTTTGATTATATTTTTTATTACACTCTGAGTGTACATATAGGCTAGCAGGATGGGATCCTTATGTCTCTTCCTGTCTTTAGTTTTTCTCTTTCCACTTAATTTATTTGTCTGTCTCTAATGTTCTCTATCACCGCCTCCCCTTATCTTCTCTGAGGTCTTCTTTTCCCTTTTTTCCGTTCCATAGGTTCGAAATGCCCTAACCATGATAACTTTTAGTTCTTTCTCTACTATTTCGAATAATGGGTGTTTATTTAAAAAATTCATCAAGTTATCATTGATTTTTCTTTTTATTTTTGAATCAAATTTTTCGAGCTGAAATTAATTAACAGCGGCGCGAAATCGCATTTGAATAATTTGAAATTGAGAAATCGTTAAACATAGGCAACCCGGTGCACGGTAACGCTTGCTGGATAGTTGGACAATTAGTAGCGCTCGGGGTTTTAGTTAGAGGGTTGGTGGTTTGGGAGAGGGCGGCATGACGGAGCGTCAGTCTGGATGGGTTTTTGTGAATGTAAAACATGTGGTAAGAGCTAGTTTAAATTAGTTGGTTTGGTAGTTGATAAAAAGGGAGGAAGCCTTTGTTTAACGAAAATTAATCGTAGCGATGACGACACAGCTTTCCCCCAACCGTGTAGCTAATTCTTGCAGCTTTTTGATCGGGAAAAAGTGCGGACTTTCGTTCAACGCGGAACACGTGCTGTAAATTAGTTTTATTGCTTGTAAATTCACCAATCAAGTTAGTTTTTCTTAATCGTCAGCTAGTGTTAACACAATTTAACAATCAGGATTATTTAAAGAAACCACTTGCTAGAAGATTTCATGAAATTCATTTAGTCAGGATGATAGTTCTTTATTTAACAAATTACGAATAGGTTTCTGGATGCATATACGTATTACACTATAACAATTCAAAATTCTTCACACAAGATTGCTAATAGTTCATTTACGGCAGTTAAATTAACAAAATTCATACTGCGAACTGGCGGGGGGTTAAAATAATTTCTTCCCTTAGGCGGTTATCATCGTTATTATCATCGTTATCATGATCACATCATCGAGGCGTGTCCTCGCAACGCTAAAGATTGATTACATCATCGAGGCTTGTCCTCACAACGCTAGAGATTGATGACATCAACGAGGCTTATTCCTCGCAACGATAAAAAAATTACATCACCGAGACGCTTTTTCCTCGCAACGATGATTGAATATTTTTGTGTCTGTATATATTATGTGTTTTGTTGGGGTAACCAGCTCGCGCTATTCTAAATTCCCAAAGTAAATTGCTTTTTTTTAAGTAACCAATCACTTAGATCATTATATAATTTGACTTAATGTAAACTTTTTGTTTGAATCGTTGATAAAGTGTGGCAAGTATTAATCTCATGTAAATTTTCTAACTTTGCATTTTTTTCACCTCATACAGTATTTCTCTATCTCACAATTTTAACCTCAGTAAATTTCTTTGTTGTATAATTTTAATTGAACGTACATTTCATGCTCTACAGTTTTAACCTCACGTAATATTTCTATTGGCACAAGTTTATTTCACACCAGATCTTTTGTTTTTCATAAATCTTAACTAGTTTTGTTTTGTAAATATTTTGTTGATGACTTATAAGATATCGAGAATTACACTGACCGATCAGTGTAATTCTCTCCTCTGCGATGACAGCAAAAAATGTAATTGTCAAGTACAAAGCTCAGAATGGAATTTATGTTAACAGAGATTTAACTAAGATGCAACAAAATAGAGCTTACACAATAAGGAAGTAGTTCAAAAGAAGATTAAGTGTTGGTGATAAAGACATAAAACTGAAATACATGAATGGTATACCCCAAATTGTTTCTACAAAAAATCAGTAGATTTCCAACAGACTAATTTTTCTAATGTAGCATTTTTTGAAATTTTGTACCAAAATGTTAGAAGTTTAAGTTCAAAAACACGGAATTGTTTTCTTAACGTTTGTTCCTGTGGAATGGATATTATTATACTAACTGAAACTTGGTTACATTCTGGTATTTCGTCAAGTGAATTATTTCTTAACCAATTTAATGTTTTCCGATGTGATCGTCAGTATAGCAAAGGTGGTGGTACTCTGATTGCTGTTAATACTACAAGGATCTCAGTTCAACCACTAAATCTTGTTTCCCCGGTACAGCAAATTGATTTTGTTGGAGTGAGGGTATTCTTGAAAAAAGATGGCATGTTGATAATTACAATGTATATTCCTCCAGGTCTACCTATATCTTGTTATGAACAAATGTTTGAATATTTGGAAAATACTGTTGATTTCTCGGAACCGATTCTTATCATTGGGGATTTCAATATTCCGGAACTTATTGAATGTGAAATAGGTACAAGAACAACTCAAATGTTTAATATTTATAGCCACTTTTTATCACTAAACGATTTGAAACAGAGAAATAAAGTTTGCAATAGTTTTTCTAAACTCTTGGACTTAGTGTTGTCAACGGATTCTTTGGCGTTAGAAGTTTGGAGACATGAATATCCATTAGTTGATGAAGACGCACATCACCCTTGCTTAAGAATTGATGTAACTACACAGGGGGAGCCAGATGTGATGTTTCAAAGACAAACAGATTTTACAAAATTCAACTTTTATAAAGCAGATTTGGAAGGTCTATATTTAGCATTATCAATTGCTGACTGGTCAAAATTACTAAATTGTGTTGATGTTGATGATGCTTGCAATAATCTATATAATACAATATATGGTCTCTTTGAACAATATGTACCATTAGCAAAATACAAAACGTCAAAATATCCGTTGTGGTTCACTAAACATATTATCCAGCTAATTAAACAGAAGAGTAGGCACTGGAATAAGTATCGTAAAACAAAGGCACAGTATCATTATGACAGGGTAAAATCGTTAAGTACAGAAATAAGACGTGAAGTAAAAAAGGAATATGCAATGTTCATCAGGAATACGGAAAACTCTATCAAAAATGACCCGAAGAAATTTTGGTCATTTTTTAACGCTAAGAGAAAATCAACGAGCATTCCAGGTAGAATGACACATGATGGGAATGAATTAACCACATCAGCGGATATTGTGCAAGCGTTTGCTGATCAATTTGCCAGTGTCTTTTCAAATAATGGTGCTAATCATAAATGTGATTCCAACTGTGAAATAAATGCTACATTCTGTGAGTTCTGCGATAAAAGTTGTTGTGCTAGTAAAGATTTTTGTAACTCCTGTGATTCTCATCCTATATTGTCAAAATTTGTCATCGATCGTTGTGATATACTGAATTCTGTTAAAAAACTCAAGAGCAACTTTGTAACTGGACCTGACAACATACCTGCTTTCCTAGTTGTTGATTGCATTAATAGTTTAATAGAGCCTTTATTGTACATATTTAACTTAATCTTAACAAAATCTGAATACCCTGTTCTGTGGAAAGTATCTAAAATAAGTCCTGTTTATAAGTCCGGAGAAAAGTGTGATATAAAAAACTATATACCTATAGCATTATTACCAAATTTTGCAAAAATATTTGAGTCAATTACTTCGGGTATTATATATTCTCATGTTTGTAGAGATATTATTCCAGAACAGCATGGTTTTGTGAAAGGTCGGTCAACAATGACGAACCTTTGTGAATTTACTCAATATGTGTCCAATGCTTTAGACAGGCGTTTGCAAGTTGATACTATTTATACTGATCTGTCTAAAGCATTTGATACAGTACATCATTGTATTCTTTTGTATAAATTAAAGTCGTTTGGTATTAGTGACCAATTATTATTGTTGTTAAAGTCAGTTATAGTAGGTAGACAACAATATGTTGAATTTGGTGGTCACAAGTCCTCAATATTTAATGTTGGTAGTGGAGTTGCGCAGGGTAGTAACTTAGGCCCATTGTTATTTATACTATTTTTTAATGATGCAGTAAGTAGTCTTAAATGTCGTACATTTATTTATGCTGATGACCTGAAAATAGCAAATGTGATAGAGAATTATTATGACTGTTTAATATTGCAGCAAGATGTTGAATATTTTCTATTATGGTGTACAAGAAACAAACTAATTTTGAATAATTCTAAATGCAAAGCTATGTGTTTTACGAGAAAGAAAAGTTCTATAAGATTCTATTATAACATAAGTGGTAAAGTTCTTGAACTATGTTGTCAATTCCGTGATCTTGGTGTTATAATGGATCAAAAATTAACTTTCAGTTCGCACATTGAATATATCACCAATGCTGCTTTAAAAACTTTGGGATTCATTATAAGGGCAACACATGATTTCACTGACATTTACTGCATTAAGTTACTATTTTATACGCTAGTAAGATCAAAAATGGAGTACTGTAGTGTAATTTGGAAACCTTATCAGCAAATCTAAACAAATCTCTTAGAGAATGTATTACGCAAATTTTGCAAATACTCCTATTATAAGATGTTTGGTTCGTACCCGGTTAGACACTGTGAGCAGCGTGCTCTTCTCAGTATTGTTAATGAATATTCTATGTTGTCAAGAAGTAACTTAAGTTGCTTAATATTTTTACAAAAAATTGTAAAAGGAGAAATATCGTGTGCTAATTTATTAACTGAGGTACAGTTTTATGTTCCAAGACTAAGTTGTAGAGTACCAATAACTTTTTATTATAATGTGCCTAACACTTTCCATCACTATAACTGTCCGCTCTTAACATGTTTTAGGCTATACAATTGTCTTGGTGTTAAATTAGATATATTTCATGTCAAGCTTACTAACAAAAGTGTAAAACAAACAATTCTGGCATATTATTCCTCATTAGGATACAAATTTCCTTTAGTTTATGTTTTCTTTCATTTGTATTTGTATTTATTTTATTTTATTTTATTTTGTTATGTATTACTGCCTTGTGTTTCCACTGTAGACGTATATGTCTGTTGGAAAATATATATTATTATTATTATTATTATTATTATAAGAGATTGAGCATGTCAAATGGAATTGAGGTTAAATAACACAGAAAGCGTGGCAGAAGCGAACTGCGATTCCTAGTCGAGCTGCACAAAGGGTACAGGTTTGGATAGATTCAGGGGCGGCCGCCGATGTTGTAACGTTCTCGGCTTCGTGCTAGCCTAGATCCAACTACGGGTCTGGCGACCGTAACGGCCTAGTTTCGGACAACATGTTTGTCCTAGAGATGTGTAAAGTGCTGTTTGCGATAGATAGAATCACCGTCGAGGGGGGAGAACAGCCCCGACCGGTAGCCCCAAACTCCGCTTGTGCTAGAACGCCCCACGGGTACTTTCGTGGTGCTCTGTGAGGGTTAGTATATGTTGTAGCCCAAAAATTTTACAACGCAACGAAAATCTGAAAACTGAGGACAGGTTGATCACCTGGATAAGAACCATTGACCCCGTAACCGTGATCTACGGTGTGAGCGTTGTTAGTCAGTTAAACAAAAATAAAAACACGGTGTTAATTACAATTATAGACTTCAGACCACGAAAATGAAGACGGACAATCGAACACAATTCATGGAGTATTAAAATATTATCAATTACTCCACACACTTAATTTTTTTTTCTAATTATATGGTTTTGTTCTTACAAATGTAATCATGCCGACCGTGAATTTACTAACAAATTTGGATAACTTACAGCAGCACTATGCCATTTTAGAACAAAATTTTGCCATTTTAAAATTTCGCGATGGTTCAAGCCAATACATTCAAAATAAACTTAGTTACCCGATGATATTTCATACGATCAACTTTTGTTTAATTAAAATTTTCTTTTTGAAGTGTTCCAACAAATATTAAAATTATCGTAGAATGTCTGCAAGATCTGTTTTGAAATTGTTTACTAAAACGGTAAGCATCTCAGTTATGTATAATTCACACAAATTGCACCTCCGTAATCACCAAAAACAGCATCTAAAAAAGTTTGACATGACTTGTCATTAAATTTTTCCTCATTTTCAGTGTTCGTATTCGTTGAATTCAGGATGTTCGCCATGCATTTCGAACGTAACTCCACAAACATCTTTACGAAAACATAATCGCTCTTGTTCTTATTCTCCCAAAAGACGTTTCTATGAGCTAAGAAATATCTCAAAATCTGTAGAAAACTTGAGAGGTAAGATTTCAATATTTTTGGGGCATAATTAAATCTGAGATTGCAGAAAGTCGTTACAAAGATGAGGAATTCGAGGCATCGGATACCGAAGATCCTAGACTTAAGGTTAACAAGTTCCCTTCCGCAACTGATTTGTCGGTGAGGGATCCAGCGAAAGAATTTAAAGATGCCTATACCCCCCCTCAGGAGGTCAATGACGAGGGTAACCCCATTTATGAGTTGGCCGAAGGGTCACGTACTCAGGAAAACTACTTCGACGTGAACTACTACATGCGGAAGTTGGAACTTGATAAAGCGAAACGGTTGTTTATGGATTTGCAACCCAATAATCTCAGACCATTTGGATCTACTCATAATTTTTATGAAGTGGAAACAGTTAAGAAACGGTACAAGATCGTATATCCAGACGTGACCCCTCCAAATCCATTTGAAATGCCAACGAAAAGGAAAGTTGATGACATACACCACAAAGACTTCAGTAGTTACGCAAGAAATACCCAACCGCAAAAAGAATCAGTTGGTAGCAATAAACCAAATGAAATAAGTATGTTGAACTATAGTACCACCTGTTCCACTCGAACATTTAAATCAAACTTTTCTAAAAGAGCCAAGACTACTCTCGGAAGCAACACAGAAAACCTTGATGACAAACCAAATAAGGATGGAATTTTCGATGAACAAGCTATCGGAGTAGATCAAGGTCTTAAAGAAATCAGGGACCATGAAAGATTGATCCGTCGCACAGCCTTGCCGAAAAAAGAATGTGCCAAAGAAGCTTTAACCTCACATTATTTGGATCTTGTTTCAAACCCAAACAGAGAGTACACCACTCAAACCAAGACCGACAAGGGCGTTTGTGACGAGTATGTCACGGTTAAACTAAGCGAATTGCAAGAGGAATGCCGTAAAGCAAAAAAATGTAAACCCAAGAAGATTTCCTTGGGTCGTCTTCCCAAAATCGACTCTCCACTCTGCCCCTGCACACATAAGGTAGATCTTAAAGAAGGTAAACCTCTCAATCGCCTCAAAAAGCGTTTCGTCTACAAAGACGTTATTCACGTGTGCAAGGAAGAGGTTTGTGATACGCCTCGAGCTGATGCAGACTACAAAATCACACCGAAGAAACTTCCCATCATGGAGTGTCCAGAGTGTCCCTGCGTCGAAGTCGAAATGACCGATCTTATCATCAAACGATTACCGAAGAAGAAAATCCCGGAACCGCCAAGAGTATGCGTGGAGTGTGTGGGCGAAGAGTGTTGCCCTCCTCGCGCAGACGGAAAGATTATCGTCGAGAAAAAAAATCTGCCCAAGCTTGAACCGAGCGGTTGTCCTTGCTTCGTGACGTATCCAAAGACCTCTCCGACCTTAAAAAGATTGGTTCCGTTGCCGGTCAAAGAACCCGAACGAATCTGTGTTACGGAGACGTGTGACGTGACTTTGAGAGCTGATCATAACCTCAAAATCGAAAAGAAGGTATTGCCTGTTCTTGCGGCAGGTTGTGATTGCCAGCCACCACGGCCAATGATGAAGGGTGAACCACTGAAGAGGATGAAAAAATTTAAGTATGTGGATAAACCGAGGGTATGTAAGGTGGAGGAGAAGTGCGAGGAAACGATTCGAGCTGATAGTAAACTGAAGCCTGAGAAGAAGAAACTTCCGGTATTTGTGTCTACTACTTGTCCCTGCAGGCCACCAGCTATACCCAGTGTCGATGTCAAACTAAAAAGGTAAGAAAATGTAGAAGTTTTGGCATTGGATGTAGTTTTGTGTCGAAAAGAGAGGGTTCTTAAACCGATGAATGGATTCCAATGAGGTTTGTTTTGTTTGAAACTGGTTTAGATGGTTCTTATCTATGATAATCCATTCAACCGCTTCAAGATCATGACTTTATCAGATAGATGGTGTAGGAATCAGTTCGGTTCTCGCGAAGGAGGGGATAGAGCGTCTACCGTCGTAGCGAGTCTTAACCAATTTGCAATTTTTAAGGGGCTTTTAAGAATTAACACTTGCTATATATATTTTTAATATTTTTAACTTATTTACGGAGAAAAAATACTGTACGTAGGTTTTCCAACAAAAGGTCTCGGTTAAACCCATACAAGGAATTTTGATAGACCTTTAAATTACGATTGCATTTGTACTTTTTATCCAAATAAAGAAATGCATCTGGTTGCTATATGTTGTCATAACAATTTTGTTTGTTGTTTGTTTTAATTCTGAAAATGGTTTATGATGATAACTGGATTTACAATAGAGGCCTTGCCCCATGGGCAGCTCGCATTCCAGATTTAATGCCCTTAGATTCCTTTATGTGGTAATACATGAACGATTTAGCGATCCATGCGCAATTTGGAAGATTAAAAAAGTTGAATTAGGGATGATAGTTCGATTATGTATCCAAATGACATTTTCAAAACTGAAAAATTAAAAAATGGAACAAATTCGCGTGGGGTCCAAAATAGGTATTTTAAAATTTATAATTAAATTTTTAGTAAATCTGTCGATTTGTTCGATTTAATAATCATTAGTCAAAAAATAATAATAGGAAAACACAAATTGAGGCATTGGAAAATGGAGTTTTGTTTCTGTAGTTTTGAATTGAAAAAAAAAAGTGAATTTGGAATAAGAATCAAAAACTTTAGACTTTGTGGACTTGACAGTTGGTTAAGCTTTATGATTTTTTCTATTTTCTTAAAAATTTAGATAATAAAATACCCGCAGACTTCAATACAATCATAATGACATTTATTTATATAACTTTTTTTAAGTAAATATGTCGATTAGTCACCCCAGTCATTCCTCAAAATCTTTATCCGTAAAAAATGAAAAAAACAATAGTTTTAGAAACCAAAAATTCAAAGAACATTGACTTCAAAATAAAATTAAAAAATTTGGACATTTTCGATTCGAAAAAAATGGTAAATATTATTTTTATAATAGGATTTGACGTTCGGATATTTAAAAAAAAATAAAATAAATTTACCCAGTCTGCAAAAAGGGTATCCTAAGATTTATATTTGTATTTTTCAGTAAATTTACTGATTTATTTACTTTCTATGATTTTATAGATCTCTATAAACAAAAATAAAAAAAATTGTTAACAAAATTATGAGTTAGAAAAACAATAGAAAACCACAAACTGAAAATGGTGTAATTTTTCTCTAGTTTTGGATATTTTACTTTTCAAAATTATGATTTTCAGAAACCATAAATCAAAGAATAGTAATTTAAAAAGAAAATTTAAAATCTTTAGACCTTGTAGATTCAAAAAAATTGAAAATACCACTTTTAGTTGATTAGAAATTTTCTTAAATTAGAAAATAAATTAAAATCACTCGGTTAAAATGAATGGTACATTTTTGTAAGGAAATATGGATTTTGTAATTATGGAGCGGAGTCTGATTGCAAAATCGGTATTTCTTTAAACAAATTTTCTATTTTAAACATGTTGTCAGTTTCATGTTGTGAAAAGAAGTCTACACATATTAAAATAAAAAGGCAAAGTGTAAGCCCACCCACCCGCCCTATCTCAAGTCTGATGATTTTTTTCATTCGCCGTGAACCAAGAGGGCGGAGCTTAACTGCAAAATACTTGTTTCTTTACAAGAAATCGAAAACATGTTTTTGAGTATCGTGTAATTAAAGAATACTATGTACATTAAGAAAAAAACAGGCACAATATAAATGCCCCCCCCCCCCCACCCACCCCATCCTAATTGTGATAATTTTTTTTTTAGAAACTTAAAACACGTTTAAAATGGTGAGTTTTTGCAAGGAAATTGGATTTTTCAATTAGGCTCCGCCCCTAGGTCTGCCAACGAATAAAAACTTCATCATTATTTAGATCAGGACAGGTATAGGTGGAGCTAAATAATATACATAGTATTCTTTGAATAACACAAATACTTAAGAACATATTTCACAAGGTAATTTCTAGGAGAAAGATAAGTAAGTATTTTACAATTAAGCTCCACCCCTGAGCTTACGACGAATAAAAAAAATCATTAGAATTGAGACAGGGCGGGTGGGTGGGGTTTTCATTATGTCTTTTTTTACTAATATACATAGCTATTTTTTCACAACAAGAAACTTAGAACGCGGTTAAAATAGTACATTTTTGCAAGGAAATATGGATTTTGCAATTATGGAGCGGAGCCTAATAGCAAAATGCGTATTTCCTTTCTCAAATTTTCCATTTTAAACATGTTTTAAGTTTCATCTTGTGAAAAGAAGTCTACAGGTATTAAAAAAAAAATATATGTTTATGTTTTTAGGAAAATTTTCCGGCTTTATATAATTTTTAAAGATCTCGATTCATACAAAATAAAAAATTCACTAGCAAAATAATGAGTTAAAAAACTAATGGGAAAACTCAAACTGAAAAACGGAGTATTCAAATGTTTTCTTTTATAAATAAATAATAAATATAATGAATTAAAAAAAGAACGAAAATACAAACAGAGAAACTGGAAAACAGGAGTTTTATTTTCGTAGTTCTTAACATTTAATATTCAAAATTTTGCTTTTACGAAAGGGAGGAAAATACAAACAGAGAAACTGAAAAACAGGAGTTTTATTTTCGTAGTTCTTAACATTTAATATTCAAAATTTCGCTTTTAAGAAACCAAAAATTCAAAGAACGCTGACTTCAAAATATCAAAAATTACAAACGTTGGATACTGTAGGTGCGAAAAAATAATGAATCACTTTTATGACCGGTTATTTTTGATCTTTGGATTTTTTCAATTCACGCAGGTTGCAAAATGAGTATTTAAAAATTTATGTTTATATTTTAAGGTAAATTTCCCCAATTGTCTGCTTTATATGAATTTTAAATATCTCTATTTCTTACAAAATAAATACTAGCAAAATTATGAGTTTGAAAAATAATACAAAATCACAAACTGCTAAGCGGAGTTTTATTTCTGCAGTTTTGGAGCTTTTATTTTCAAAATTTTGCTTTTAAGAAGCCATAAATCAAAAAGCAGTAGCAATAAAAGAAAACTGAAAAACCTCAAATATTGTACACTTTGTTCTAGTTGACTATTTTGTTTTGTCGTTACGATTTTTTAAATTTTGTGAACAATTTTGCAAATAAAATACATTCGAAATTCAATTAAAAAGTTGTAGAAACACTATCATGAATTAAAAAAAAAGGAACATACGAACGACAAACTCAAAAACGGATGTTTTAATTTTGCAGTTTTGGACCTTACATCAAAAATACAAAGAACCCTGATTTCAAAATAAAAATTAAATGTAATTTTTATCGGTTTAATTATTTTTGCTCAGCGATCGAAAAGTTCAGGAAAATTGAATTACATTTTTATTTTTTAATTTTACGTACTGTTTAAGTACCTTGATTTTGATTCTCAAAATATCGCAGTTGCGCCAAAAATCAGAAAAAAAATAGGTAATTGCAATTTAAAAAAATTTAAGTTTTCTGCGTAACGACACTGACCATGTATATGTTATACTTAATTTCAATGTATTGAAACTCCCTAAGCTTCCCTCTTCAAGCTAAAAACAATGGAGTTTACAAAATTTCAATATTTATGTCCGTCCTCAAGATATAAACCAGAATTGTATCTAGGGCACTTTATATACGATAGTTTTCATGATATGTACATAATTCTAGGTTGCAGCCGAAGCCTCTTCCACCGGAGAAAGAAAAGATTTGCGTTGAGGAGGTATGCCAGATGCCTCGTGCCGATGAAGGAATGATCGTAGAACCCAAACAGCTGCCGATATTAGAAGCTCAATCATGTCCCTGTCCGACAGCGTCAATGAAGGACGGTCCACCATTGAAAAAACTTGTACCTAAACCAGTAGAAGAACCTCCAAAAATTTGCCCAGTAATAGGAAAATGTTTAATACCTCGATCCGACGACGACCTTAAAGTTAAAGCAAAGAAGCTACCAGCTCTTACTGCAGGTACCTGTCCTTGTAAACCACCAGAACCGCCTCATGTTATGAGGCCGTTGCCAAAGTTAAAGAAAAAGCCTGTAACTTACCAGAGAGTTTGCAAGGTTGAGAAGGTGGAATGCACGGAACGTGCCGATGAGCATCTGAAAGTGAAAGTTAAGAGATTACCTAAACTAGAAGTTCCGGAGTGTGCTTGTAGACCGCCTGCAGTACCAGATAAGGGGACACCTTTAAAACGACTGAAAAAGGTACACATACCAGAGCCTCCTCGAATCTGCAAGAAGGAAGACGATTGTGAGGATATACCTCGGGCTGACGAAGATGACTGGTTGTATTGGAAACGATCGGAGGTTAAATCGGCTGAATGCGAACCCCCGAAGAAGACGAATAACAACAGATCTTTCAGTACTACCTCAAGACGATCTTATAGCACAAGAGTGACATCAGATTACGATTTATTTGACTTACAATACGACGTGCCGGGTTTGCTTTCAGACTCATTTAAAAAGCAACCAAACAATATTATAATCGACATTAAACCTTCAGCACTTTTGATTCTGACACAGAAGCAATTAGAATTAAATAAGGACAGTACGGATGCTGTTTTAACAAGAACACAGGAAAAACGATCAAAATCAGAACCAGTAGAAAACGTCAAATTCGTTATCTTCAAGAGTAATAGCCTCGTTACTAGTAAGCCATCTAAAGAAAGTTCAAGTGAAGTTTCATTTAGTACAAAGAATCGCTTCATTTCCACTTGCAGTGCTGTATGCCAAGGTCCCCGAGAAGAACCTCACCTTCAACCTAAAAACCGAATCATTCCAGAGAAGGAACATTTTATTACTCCTTATCCAAGTGATGACGAAATCGAACATACATTGAGAAAAAGTAGAAGGTATAATAGAACTCGGAAAAGCGATACATGTGAAGGTGGATATGAAACTAGAAATGAAGCTACCCATGCAGAAGTGCTCCAGTGTAAAGAAGAAGTTGAAGAAGAGAAGAAAACTTCTGAAGAATGTGAAAAAGAGGAAGTAGTTGGTGATAAGTGTGAAAAAAAAATAAGCCTATGGGAGAGGGTCGTAAGTTATTTCAAAGCTAGACCGAACTGTCCGTCACCAGCAGAGTATAAAAGAATGAGGTTAAGGGAAGAAGCTGAAAGAGCGGCCCAAGCAGCCGGATTATGTTTATATGATCCTAAGGAGCTATTGAAGAGGCATGATAAAGAGTTACCAAAGGTGATTACAGCGGATACAGCTAGAGAAGAGTGCGAAAAATAAGTTAGTTTTTCTTTTAACAACAGGTATAACATCATACATGGTTACGTGTAAACAAATAGTTTTATTTCTGTTTTCAATATATATATATATCGTATGAACTAAACTGTGTTTTATTTGATGCACGAGTGATTGAGTGAAATATGCTTCAAGTTTTGCAATTTCCTTTACATTTGTCTCAAACAAGAATTTTTCCGATAAAATAAAACATTTTAATCTGTTTGTATACAAGACGCGCCAAGTTCGCCGTAAAGTAATTCGCTTGCTGGTGAGGCCCTTGAAAACTTCCGGGATTGATAAATTGAATTTTAAATCCTTTGAGGTTATGTTCTTGTAAATAAAATAACAACAAATAAGTCCGATATTGGTTCGGAATCTGATTGTGTTTTGAATTAGTTGGAGAGGGATCCCTGAGATAAATATTGTTTGAATTGTTTTCTCGGTTCGTACACTTACTTGCATTAAAAAGTAAAAAGGGACAGGTTCTGCAGTAAAGGGAAAACTCCAATAGATATTTTACAGTGGAAAAACTGTCACATAAAAGATTCATTGCTCCGGTAACTTCTCTACAAATGCACCGGAATCTCAAATGTTGCAAAAAAAGGAAAACTTGGACATAAGTCGGGGGATAAATAACACAATAGACAGACCGAGAAAGCTCGCTTCGCATCGATTTCTCATTTCGATAATTTCCCAGCCAAGTGTCTCCTTTAAAGCGTAGCGACCGCAACTTCACGCTCCCTTTACATACAAAGAACAGAAAGTGTCTTCAATACAACTATCGCCGTCTAAAAATCAAAGTCCTGTCGTACCAAATCCACCAAATCCGATACGTAACTCCTACAGACTCTCCCTAGACTGAAATATCACCGCTGGTTGGTGTCTAAATTCAGAAATACTGTTATGATTACACGTTGGATGCCGCTCGGCTAAATTGGACGTTGCTAAATTTTAATAATGGTAATGAAACCCCGAAAGTTTGAGCATTCATCACCTAACTATAAACTGCAATCTCATCAGAGTAATAACGATAATGTGTTAAGTGATGGAGATGGCAAACATCGGTGAGCAGCCCCTAAGAAAACAACGGGACCGTAATACACTAAACAGTGAAAGGGCAAGACGCTCGACGTCGAGGGCAGAGGGTTAATGCGAACTTTTGTTAAGTTGTTATTCCCTAATGGGCAGTCATTGGGGCACAATATACTGCATTACATCATCTAACTTTGCGATTATGCGCCGCATCCGCGAAGGGATTGGGTAATTGCGGGTAATTCGGAGTCTCCAAATGGAATTAGGGAAAAATCTGGAGCGATTAGACTCAGGAGAGACATCGCGAGCAGATGCATAAATAGCAAACGGCTCTTTGCGTTGTTTTGGTACTCGGTTGGGTAATCCTGAGCCAGTTTCGAAATTACAAAATTTTTCGAAACTTACACACTACTTGCCTTAATCCGGGACGTCGGCTCCAGAACATTTAAAGAGACTGCAGGATACCGACAGAAAAATGGTTAGAAATCAGAAGTTGCATTATTTAATCAAATTCAAGAAACAAGAACTTTTTATTTTAATTAACTTCGGCCTAAACGTTTTCAACAGTAAACAACTTTTGAGTTTAGAAAGACAGTGAATTTTCTTTTCCATTTTGTTTTTTATTTTATCTTTTAGATTTTTAAAATTTTTGCCAACCGTCTTGAATTTTAAGTTCATTATGTCAGAGTATCCTATTTGTTTTATTTTTCAGAAATTTTTGTAGCCGTAAAATCTTTTTTGAATTTAAAAGCGTATGACCAAGAATTTCTTGCCGTACACAACTTATATTTATACAGCGTGTTATTGAAAGGTACGTACAAAATAAAATCGGCAATTGGTCTCGAAGTATGGGTGCTAAAATTTAAAAAAAGTTCAAGTAAAAGTGTTATCCTTTTAGAAATAAATATTTTTAAAATGTATGTCCAAAATCGTTGCAATTCGTTTAGTCTTGACAAAAGTTTTATTGTTACAGTTGCTAGGATTTACTAAATAAATTAATTTGAGCTATTTAGCCTTCAGTAGCGTCTAAAAAGGTTGGATAAGGGTTAATTTTCCCCTTATAATTTTGATAACACAAAATAACTTTTTCAGATTTCTTAGACTTCGCGAAGAACTGTCCATTTTGTTGTACGTACCTTTCAATAACACCCTGTATAAATCGAGGATATTATGTTTCTCCTAGCGTTTATATCCGAAAATGGTTTAAATTATTTTCAAAAATTATTCAGCGTTTTATTACAACTGTGTGCGTCGTTTATTTTTGAGTGTTTTGTGATTAAAATGAACGATTAAAGGTTATAGATGGTTAAATAACGACACTTGATTGGAAAAGCGAAATTATGCAGCTTTTAATTCGATTTTATTAAGTTCTCTCAAAATTTTGGCAAGTAGTCTTGTTTGAAATTTATGTTATAATATGTTCCTTACCTTACGCTAGTTTGTCTTGGAACTACCTATACAAACGATTTTGAAAGTTTGGTAATAGTTTTTATGATTGGAGAACATCGACTAAAATTATTATTTCTGATAATGGTTTTATATTATTCTATTCTTCTACGAGCGATGTGGCTTTGTATATACCATAATAAAATTATAGAAATTATTTTATTTGCCTGTTACCGCTGCTACCACGGCAAAATATTTAGCACTCCACTGTGATCATATATGGTTAAACTATTCATACAAAGAGCTACTTGTATTCGTTAAACCTCTGAATTAAATTTAGATGGTCTTTTTCAGTCAAGAAGAATGCAATGTATAGTTTTGGAAATTTCATTCTACCCTATGAAATTTTATTGGCAATAACGAGGCGAACAGTGAGTACAATAGCAAGATATATTTACAATTTAAAGTTATCGCGTGCCGGTAATCCCAGATGTTAGAAAGCAGAATAATCCAGGTCAGGTCAGGGATCATCGTTACTCACGAACGAAAATGACCATTATTTTATGAGTACAACTACCTGCTAAATGTTCTCCGACAAATTTGGGTGAACTGGTGTGAACCATAAATATTTGTTATCATTGTACTACTGTCCGTCTCGTTATTGTTAATAAAATGTTATAGGGTAGAATGAAATTTCCAAAACTATAATTGTTTGTGAACAGTTTTATTTGCACGCGAGACCCAAGAATACCTGAAATAAATTTCCATTTCGGTGCAGTTACAGGTTCGTACTCACAGTTAACAAGTTAAATGGGACAGAGAAGGTCTTTACCTAGATTCGGTAGGCTAATAAACGTATGGGGTAATTTGTCGTTTCGTTCAATTTAGAGAGTATATTTAATATAAAAAAAAATCAAAATACTCCTTAAACGACGATTTGAAGCTAAGAAAATTATTATTTTTTACTAAATTAGGGTTGGTAACAATATATGTACGTATTATGCAGATCTCATTTACACAGCAAACAAAGGGAAAAATAAATAGTAAAGTGGGCAGTATAATAGTGAATTTTAAAAATTTCAGAAATTCGGAGTGTAACAAAGTTTGTATTAAATTTTACGTTTTCAATATATAAAACCCATTATGCCTCTGTATATACAGGCTGTTTACTAAATATGCCTCATAAATTCAAGGGTTATTTCTTGGATTGTTTTAAGATTTTTTTTGTTCTTGTTAATTTTCGGAAAGACGCTTTGGTTTAAAAATACGAGGCGATAAACACTTTTCGAGCAAAAACAATACTTTATTCATATTACATCTAAAAGATGACTACCGCTAGCTAGGATGCATGCGTCCAGTTTTCTCCTCACTGAGAGTTGTTATTTGTTTTTGGATAATAATTATCCGATTTCTTAAATCTTCATTTTCTACTGGAGTAGTGTAATGTTTTCAAATGACTTCATAAGTAAAAATCTAAGCGATTTAAGTCTAGAGATCGAGCGGTGTTCCTTCATATTTATTACTCCGTACCTTCGAAGCAAAGTGTCTTTCCAAACATCATTCAATGACAAATTAATCTTAATGAAAGGAATAACAACCTAAATTTTTTCTGCATGTTTACTAAATGGTCTGTATAAAAAGCATAGGATGATCTGGTATACAATGTGACATCTTTTCTCATTTCACCAGTACAGAGTGATCGAGAAATGGCGCATTAAATCTATGACACGTTGTTAAGAACTGTTTATTAAAAAAAAAAAAAAAATGGGCCCAAATGTAGAAGATATTGTCCTCCAAAGTTTAATTTTTCTTTTCGATATTTCACCATATTTTAATTCATTACTTAGTGCTGAGTTTATGAAATATAAAAATTAAAATTTGGTTAATTTTCGTAAATTGATATTTTCTTTTTTATAAGTGAACGTCAAATTACCGTTTTTACAAGAAGGGATTTTTTTAGTATTGTACTCTAACTTAGACTTGTGAACATTCTAATGCACCATTAAGTTAGTACGCAGTTTTTTGATCACCTTATATACAGAGTGATAAAAACGTTACGTATTAGCTTGTTGGTTAAGAAGGCTCTGAAGAACTTTAAAAAATATGTGTTGAATGTTATATTTGGTGCTTAATATTTTTAGATTAGGTTTGTCCTTTTTATAACTATCTCCCAAATTTATTTATTAGACATAGTCCAACGTAAGGTCAACATAGCTGTAAACCTGCGTACAATTTCAAAACGGGTCGGGCCAAGTCCACTTTCAAATTCAAGGGATGAGGGTGTCCGTCATCGTAGTGAACTTTTTTATCTGGGTACTTCCTGCTTATTATTTTGCATGAGTGCTAGCGTGTTGACCAGTTCACTTAAGTTTATGTTTTCCTGTGGTATTGTGTGCGATTTAAAAGAAAGTGTTCTTTTCAGAACTAAACCAATGTTAAAAAACCGCCCCCTCCTGAAGTATGCATGTTACGCTACTGAGTGATAGTCAGTTGTCAGATTCTAATGACTCACTATGTTGAACTTAAAATGTTCCATCTCTACTGTTATTGGTGGTATCAGTTTCGGAGTTTACTCCCTTTTGTCTGCCACCTCGTTGTAAGACGAGCATAAAAAAACGAAAAACCTAACTTAAAAAAATGGTTAAAAAATTTCAAAG